GTATTAGTACTGGAGCTTTGAGGGGGGGGGGGAAAGGGGGACTTAGGGGACTTGAATTTTTAAAAAATGCTTAGAATTGAGGTATGTATATAGTTACTTTAGACAAAAACCCCCATATTTTATTATTTTTAACTACCTGAAGTTGAAGTCTTTCAGAATTAAAGCACAGATTAAAGCACAGATGTTTATAATCTCTTCTTACTGCTTGCTGCAAGTAAATTAGAAATCAGAAAAAAATATTTTGCCTGTTTTTCAAATACATTTAGCAGAAAATTCTTTCTAAAATTTGTATCCTTTTGTTTCATGTATTACGTGGTGGGGAGGAGGAAGGAAATGCAAAAATGCACTTTCAAAGCAAGAGCTGACAAAGGCATGTGTGTAATTTCAGTGTCTAAAACTTGGGCAGCTTTGTTGTTAAACAGTGTTTTAAACTAATTTGAAAGTGACACATGAAACATTCTGATTAATTTGTGAGTACAGAAAGGTCTTTATATTTGGAATAAATTTCTGTTGCATAGTTTAGGGGATTTTAGTTATGGTGATGATTTTCCTCCTTTTTCTCTTGATTTAGGATATGATCAACTGCATTGGTGGAGTAAATGTGCTGTTTCCATTGCTGGAGCAGATCAGTTTTCTTGGTGGACAGATACCTGAGAAGTCTGAAGGTGAAACTCTACCTCCAGAACTAGTCACTCCCGTAGAAGGAGACTGGGTGGTATTGTCATCCACAAAGGCATCAGGTAGGAAAGTACAGTTGAACTGAATTAGTTTTTAAGCTTGATTTTAAAAGTCTTCATGTGAATGACAGAACTGTTTTATTATGCCCTGACTTTTCCAGAGTACCTATGTAAAGCTGAAAGGCTCATTCTGTTCCGAGATATCTAACATGGATACTGAACACCAGGAGTTCAGCCCTATGTAAAATTAACTTACTAATATATTTCTAATATAGCTATATTTAATGCATTGTTTTTCATGATTTGCCATTACATTAGTGTAGAAGTATGCAGTTTTTAAATTTCTATTCTGAAAAGTTTGTTCTGATTATTCTGAGAAATTGTGTTTGATGCAAAGGCTACTAATATCAATAGGAGGAGCTTTCCTACAACTTGAGTGCTGGGTCAGACAGCAACATTAAGATGTTGCAGCATCAGAATAGTACTGTTTAACCTTTAGCAAACTTTGGTTTTCTTAGGAAAATGTTCAGACTTCTACCTCTTCCACACAGATCTTAGTATTAAAATTTTAAAAAAAAGGAACAGAAGCTTTAAGAATAGGTTTTTAAAAACTGGGATAATATTGAGAATGAACTTTGATCTTAATAGAAACAACTGAGAAATCAGACTTTGCAAGGGAAAACCAGCATTTTTTGTTTCAAATATGAAATGGTTAAAGTTTAAAAATAAATGTCTCTGTCTTCATTTTTTGCATATCATGGCTAGAAAGTGTCAGTTTCCAACTATAGAGGGAGATTAACTGCAGCATATACAAATGATTGTAACTGCAAGAGAAGTTTTTAACCTGCAGCCGGATGGATGAAGCAACTGAAGTCAGGTCTGGGGTCACTTTGGTCTGCAGAGGCATGGAATGGCTATGACTGCACTGGAAAAATGTAAAGAGAGCCTACAGCTAGGGAACAAACAGAAAAGGAGTTGAGAAGTTCAAGAAGTAGGAATATAAACACTAGATTTTACTACTTTTCCTTTACTTTTATGGTCCAACAATGAACTGCGAGGCTTTTGCTACTGTTCTGTTTTGCAGAAGCGCGCCTGGAGAAGAATATTGTTGCAACTTTCATCTTGATGATTAAACACTTTATTCAGAGACATCATGTTAATCAAGAAAATCTCATTCACTCCCATGGAGTTGCCACCCTAGGAGCCTTGTTACAGAAGGTGAGCAAATTTGAGAAATGTCCTTTAGTAATGAGTGTTATGGATGAGGTCCTGATTACTTTGAAACATTCTTAGTTTGGCCAGGATGTGAGGTTCTTCAAAGGTCTCCTTAGTACATGCTTTTCTTTCTTATGTTTCTGAAGACAAAAAGATGTGAGGAGTTGGTCTTGATCTGCAAAGTGAAACATGTTTTTTTGTCTTTTTATCATGTTCTGCTTTTTTTGTTATAGATACTGTGTTGTATGATTATTCAAACCAGACTGGTTTTGTGTTTCTTCCATTGCTTTAATGGAAGCAGACATTGCTGTGGAAGATAAAGGAATCACAAAAATTGATTTTAAAAGAAAAAAAAAAAGAGTAGTTTATTAGGATATTCAGTATTTTGAGTGCTAACACCTGTTGTTATTTTGAAAAGGTGCCAAGCAACTTAATGGATGTGAATGTACTGATGGCTGTACAGTTGTTGATAGAACAAGTCTCAGTAGAAAAGAATGTGCAGCTTTTGCAACAGATGTATCAACACTTACTTTTTGACTTCAGTATCTGGAACAGTGGGGACTTCCCCTTCAGAATTGGTGAGCTCTTGGGCTTGGGCAGCTGTGCAAAGACACAATAATCTTCACTTGACATAAATCTTTATCTAGGTTCTAATAGAAAACTTTATGTTATAGGGCATATACAATACCTTTCTACAATCATTAAAGACAGCAGACGACTCTTCAGAAAGAAATACGGTGTGCAGTTTCTTCTAGACACCCTCAGGATTTATTATGGGTATGAGTTTTACCTGTTCTAACTCCTCATTTATTGTATGTAGCTGTTGGGGGTTTTTTTCTTCATCATCCTAGTGAGAAAATTAATAAATACAACTGCAGGTTGGCTTTTGGTGGTTGATTTTATTTTCAAAACTGCATTATTTTTTTTTTTTTCCATTTGACTTGCAACTTTCCCTTGACTTTAATTTTTATGGTAGGATTATATGAAATTTATGCCAATGATACTAGAAATGCTTGAAAAAGTCAACAAACTTATAAAACTGAAGGATTTGTTAATAACAATTCAAATTAAGTCATAGATCATTACCATTATGAAAAGAGAGGGTGTTTATTATTTTAAGTTATTTTATATCCTTGTAGAATTTGAAGTAAGACTTTTTTATGAATTTAAAATCTTAGCTTTCAGTCTTGGTGACTTATATCTATATGGATATAGTTTTGTCGTTGAGGAAGATTGTCCAGAGACCTTGCTCTTTCCTTTAGAGGGTGGGAGGGGAAAGTCTGAAATGCTGACCTGTACCCGGATCAGTACAAGTCTACATTTCAGGGCTTTTTATAGACTTGGTAAGTCTGATCTACTATTGCTTATTGCTATTCAGTTGCCTCACTTCAGTACAGACTGATAGCTTGTGCCATGATATCTGGGTAGATGAAAAATTGCAAAACTAGCACAATCAGATTGCTGTTGATGAGTCATGAAGTACTTAAGTTGCTTTTCCTGTCTGTTGTTGTATAGGAGTGGCTGTAAAGACAGTGATTTTGCTCCTGATGACTTGAGAACAATACGGACATCCCTCTATGGACTGATCAAATATTTCCTGAGCAAAGGTGGAACACATGAAGAAATACAGAGCATTGTAGGATACATAGCTGCCACCAGTGAAGAGGAGCCGGTATGCAATATGGCGTAAATGAATAGTTTAAACTGTACATGTTTTGGGTTTGCTTCTTGGTGTTTAGAAGTATTGTGTGCTTAAAAGAGAGTGGAACAAGAAAGAAAAAGAACACAAGCAAAGTGTTACCTGATGTGTGATTCTGTTTAGATGTAGCTGAGGATGTTATATAAGCACACTGGAAACCTGACAAAAGTGCTCTGCAGGTGGCAATATTTTTACCAGTTACTTTCTTCCCCTGAAGAGGGCAGAAAGCACATGATGTGTAATACTGCCGTTAGAAAGGTTCTCTTAGTTTACAAAACTAAGTGAATTCGACTCCAAATGATCAGAAGTTGTAATGATGCTGTTTCTATTTTGTAGACATCAACAGAACTTGGACTTGCTTTGTAGCTCTAATTACAGTTTGATAACATGTTCTATATATAGAAAAAAATCCAACCCCCCCTAATTTTGAATGCAGTAACATTGATCAGACTCAATATTACCGCATTCTTTTCTTTTATACCAAGCAAAGGGTAAAACTTAAACCAAGACAACTTTTCCCAAGCAGAGCGTGAAGTTTGAATGAATTGTGGATTAATTTGGTTGTCTTAATTTTGTAGCTCTGTGGAATTCTGGATGTTCTCTTCAGCCTACTTCATTCCAGCCCAACCCCAGACCAGCTTTTTCTATTGCTTTTTGAACCAGGGAATGCTGATATTCTTTATGCTCTGTTATTGCATCAAAGATACTCTGACAGGCTTAGAGAACTTGTGTTCAAGGTAATTCATTGATTTATATGTTCTCAAATTAAGCAATCGAACATAAATTTGTCTTTTTCAATAGTCTGACTGCAGAAGTGTATGCAATTGCAAAGATACTAATCAAGTTTTAATTTTTTTCTTCTGTGATGTTAGCTAGATTATGTTTTGTTCTCTGTTTTGTCCTCTCTGTTATGTTAGCTATTGTATACTGCCATAGTCACAATGGAATTAGTGTTCTCTTGAAGTAAAGTATTGGGATCTTTTTTTTTTTTTTTAAAAAAAAAAAGTCCATGTTGTTTCAGTTGGCTTACAGAGTAAACTTTAAAAACAGTGGACCAGCATGTTATATCATACACACTTAAGTTTAAGAGATATGGATGCTCTCCTGTGTTTATTCTGCATTTGTGTGTACTTTTTCTTGCAGATTGTGGAAGAGATGCTGAAATGTACTAAAGTTTATGAACGTAGTAAGCACCGTATGAAACTCAGAGAAGTAGGATACTCCGGACTGGGGCTCCTTCTGAATGAATCGCCAGTTACTGTTTCTCTTATTAAAAACCTTCTTAACCAAGTTTTGTATGCAGGTAATTGGCAAGTGTGTCTGCCATTAATAAACTGCTGTTCAGAAGCAAACATTTTTGTTTGTTTTTCCTCAGGAAAATCTGTTCTATTTAAAGTTCCCTAGTCTCCACTAACATTTTCTCATTTCACTGAAGTTTGTTCCCTTTACTACACCTGGATGTAGAAGTGTTCTCCAAGGCAATTTTTAATATTTAGCTGTGCCATTCTGTTGCATGATGTCATTTGTGTTGTGTTTTTCTTTCTTCCCTACAGATCCTGCTGTGAATTATAAAGATCTCATAGCTATAGTGCATCTGGCTCATAGATCAGATATAAATGTGAGAGTGGTTATCTGCAGAAAGGTTAGTTGTCTTCATTAAAACTGGAATACTGTCCTTTAAGCCTGTAAGCTGTACAGTGTGATATCTTAATTATTTGAGACACAGTGGTGGTATTTGTTGCTATTGCTTTCTTCAGCAATGATTTATGTTAAAAATTAAGCCAATCTGTCACTTAACGTTGAATTTTGTGTATTCAGGTCATTTTAAAAAACAAAGCAAAGCCTCTATCATGCTTCTCAAATAACTTTTATTTTCTAAAGGTTAGAGATAGAAGACTCTTTGAATTACTGAGTTTTCTTAAAGAATGCTGAAGACCATGATCAAAGTTTTGTTTGTGTTCTTAATATGTTATTTTGGTAGAACATACTATGGTTCAAAAGAGTGGTTGTGGATACAGGGAAGAGATAGGGAGGAAGCAGTGGTTTCCTACACTGAGCTCGCTCTCCAGCTTGTATCACCGGAATTACTAGTATGAATGTAGCTGTGAGGGGCTGTTTTGTTTATTAAGGCTTCTCAAAGTACAAAAAAGTGAAATGATAATGTATGCTATAGGTAAGCTATCGGAACTATAGCTTACTATTGAAATAGTTCCTAATCAGGCATATTTTCTGTTTTAGGTTTTCTTTTTTTGTAGACTAGTGTCTGAATAGGATTATTTGTTGTGATAACTGGCTTTTGCAGAAATTATTGCAGGGGAGAGGCTGAAATATGAGGCCTTACCAGTATGCTTTGATAGCTTCTTTTCTCCCCTACTCCTGAGATTTTTTTTTTTTAATTTTTTTCTCAAATATATATTTCTAATAGGAAAAATGATTCTGTGACTTGTTTGCTTATTATTAATCGATTGCATCTCTTGTACAACGTTCTAAAAAAGCCAGAAAAAGTTGTAAGATTGTGAAATGTCTAATTGAAAAGCTGGAATGAATGCAGGTACAAGCTAAAATTAATGTGTAGGTATGGGATATCTTCTCCTGTCCTTAGGTTTTGCACCTTTTGCGTTCCCAATTGGATGCAGCACAACAGATTTCTCAGCAACTGGGTTGGCAGGACACTTTGATTAGACTCTTCCTGAAAGAAAACTCAGAGGTTCGGATTGACTGTAAAGAGAACAGGGCTGATTCTTCAAGGGAAGAGGAAAAAAAGCCTCTTGCTGAAGACCTTCAGAAACATCAACCTGATAAGACAGAGGGAGACAAATCTGGCAGCTTTGCATCTGTTAATGGTCTGTTTGATCAGTGGAGTTTAGAAGACAACAAATCCCTGGATGTCCCTGCTCATTTCTCTGTTATGCCACTGGAAGATGCCTCCACAGCAGAGATGTCTTTTAGGTCAGAAGATCAAGAAGAATTGTGGCACAGTAATCCTTCACATCTGAGCTTAGATCTGTCCAGTGTTGACTCTTACGAATTAGCTGACATTGTGAATCAGATGACAGATAGCCAGCCCAGCACGCCATCACCTATAGAGAACACAAAACCATTCTCTGGGCAGCCTGACAAAGAGCTGGGAGTTACAAATGATGTGGGCTTCACTGCTGAGCTTTCTTTTTTTGAAAACCAAGGGGTAAGTAATTCACTCCCTATGTGGTTAATTTCTCCAAATGTCTGCAATTCCTTTTTATTTTTTTAATCATCTCTCTGATAGGTAATTATTGTCCTTCATTTTGCTTCCCATCTTCCAAAAGAAAAGCACACAATATAGTGAGCAGGGATACTCCCTTTTATAATGTGTCTTCTATTTTGGTTGTCTAGTTGGAATAGCTTTGCTGTTAAAAAAAAAAACCCAACAAATGACAAACAAAAACCTAGAAACCCACCTTGCTGTGTTCTGTATTTTCATGTCCTTCATCTTCTAGAGGAGGCATGGAGAAGACTTGCTGTGAAAAAATAAGGATAGCTAAAGGTCAGGTTGAAACGGTGATGTAGAAGTCAGTATGTAGTACAACATACAAGAAAGCCACTGTCTCTTCTATTTCCATTTTTCACATATTTAGCAATTGGACTTTAGACTGCAGAGTTTTCAGAAATGTTGAAACATTCAAGTATAGGGACTGTCATCAAGAGACATTTTGAAGGTTTTCTAATCCAGAAGGGCTGTAACTATTTCTCTTTTTTTGTAGGGGGGTGATAATGAACTCATACAGTTACTTACAGACATCCTGCTATGTATAATGTGGAAAGGCATTGAAAAATCTGATGATGCTGCTTGGATTGAGAGAGGACAGGTTTTTTCTGCACTGACCAAACTGGGGATATCTAATGAGTTGCTGCGACCTTCAGATGAAATAAAACTAAAGTGAGTGTACAGTTCAAGGACAGGTTCTTTCATCCCTTTTGAGGAAAATCAGAAAAAGTAAGGGACATTAGTGAAGCTGAGAAGGGGTGGGTGTTTCCCAACAAGACGTACTTTTCTTTGCTCTCTCTTCATGTAGTCAGAAGTATGTCATGTGTCCATAAGGTTTTGAAATTGTGTTGCTGATTCCATGAGCTTCTCCAAATCTTTTATCTTATTGACTTATCAAGAAGACAGTTGTATCACTGCAGACTAAGAGATTTAATTAAATACTTAATTGCGTTTTTTTAAAGCCACTTACACTTAGAACACATAATAATTACTTTGGATTTTGTTTTCCGTGCAGCTTGCTGGAGAAGATGTTAGAATGGTCAGTCACTGATAACAGAGATTCCAAAGCTCTCCCTACACATGCTGAAAATGCCTTCAAGCTCTTGCTAATTGTACAAGATTTCCTGCAGGCAGAAGGACTAGTTAATTCAAATTTATGGACAGAAAAGGTACAGTAACTGCATAATGGAAGTAGTATTTATAGGCTGAAATAGAAATGAAAGTTGTCAGCTTGGATACTGTCATCCCTCTAGGCTAAAGGGCAGAGGTATTATAAGGAAAGAATCACTATATTGTGATAAATCCTTTAAAAAAACAGGGGTTTTTTAGGCTACTTTTAAAAAAAATAAAGTGTGTTATGAGCCATCAACACAGTAATTCCTAACCTGTTCTCCAAAACGCCTGCTTATAAGCAAAAATAGTTTAATCTTAAAGCATTTGATTGTGTTTAAAAAGTCTCCTCTTGGCAAAAGCTTTGCTTTTTGTGCGATCTAGCTTTGTGAAATCTAATTAGAAATGTGCTCTGAACTTTGGAGCAATGAGAATTGTGCTTCTTGTCAACTCTGAATTGAAAATAACAGTACTTTCATAAATTATCTTCCACTCTGCCTGGGGAGAATTTAAAGCACCATAATATTCTAAGCAGGACAGCTTTAAGTCTGCTCCAGAAGCATTCATGTGATTCAGATTCAGGGGCTTAACAGAAGAATGGGTTTACATTTGGGTAATTTATTAGGGGGTGTGTCAAGGTATATTAGTTTTAAGCAAACATGTGTGGATAGTGAAATGTGTCATTTGTCTTGTGAATAGCTACTTTTCACAAGGTTTGTATCACTTCTAGTATTGAAGTACTGACAGAAAGGAGTGCCTCCTAATTTATTTACTTTTTTTTATTTTTTAAAAGTTGTTAGGAAGTTTCAAGCATTTCACTAAATCAGATATTCATGAAAGAAGTCTTGTTTTCCTTCTTAAGGCACTGTGCATATTGCTATGGCTGGTAAATTATACGAGCATTGGACTCAAGTAATTTAAAATACAAAGCAAAAGAATGGAATAAAATCCTATATATAATGAACCCATAAACTGCAAGTTCATATGGTATCTGTGCCATTAATATTAGTGTCTTTTCAGTGATAGTAATCCTGCTCATGGAGCCTCTAACTTTTCTAAGAAAATGGCACTTACTGGAGTCAAATTTTAGGAAAAACATAAGCATATATATTATATGCTGGATTTGGCTTTGTTCAGGGAAGATACATCAGTTAATATACTGGGCTAAACAGATTATTGTAGTCAGGAATTGTTTCAAATTACTGGTTTAACTGCAGTGTTCTGGTTAATTTTCTGGGTTTGGTTAAGTTAGAAGTGTGAACACAGCCTCTTTAGCTTTTTGAAATTATTGTGTCTCTAGCTGGAGTAGCTGTTGTTAATTTTATTTCCTGAAAATCTTTTGTTTTTACAATAGCTCTTGGAAGAACTAGTGACTCTCATGGATAGCCTGTCAGTCTGGTACTCTGCTGGCCTAGAAGCAACTAGACTTTCACAGGTGCAAGTGCAGTTGCTCCTTGGATTTATTGCACAAGATAACTTACAGGTTTGTTGCAAATTCCTGCAAGTGATACTGTGTTTGAAGTGCAGGTTTGACATAATTGTTGTGGTTTATGGGGTAGCTGCTCATACCAGTGAGCAGACTGATGGCACTCCATCCTTCTACAGGGAAAATGTTTTAATTGTTCTTGCCATTTGCAAATTTACTCTGCAGTCCTGTCAATGTGCACCTCCTGAGCATGAGAAAGAGGTAGAGGGCAAGCTGTTTGAAGATGGAACTATGTGACACCAGTGGCAGTAAGATAGTGATTCTGATTGTGACTTTTTGTTTCTACCATAAAGTACATATATTAGCGGTTCCAGGTGTACATATATTAAGTGCACCTGAACTTGGACTGACCTGCCAAATCAACATTTGAAACAAAGTTAGCAGAGCTGTGCATAGAATATGAGCTCTTCAGTAAAGCCAGGACTGTTAGTTTAGGTGTGTGATTGTCTTAATGTGGCTTTGTGACTTTGGGGTTGCAGCTGACTCAGGTTTGGTCATTACAGGATGAGTAAACTATCAGTGCACATATTTGATGCATGTGCGTGTGCAGGCTACCTGGGATGCAGCCAGAATAGCAAAAACATACTCCTGTGCTAAAAAGATAGGTACTCAAAATTACTATTTTGAGGATTGCATTCATTTTTCATTTGCCTGTGTAGGTCTGTGCTATGGCAGCAGCCAAACTAAACACCCTCCTTCAGACGAAAGTAATTGAGAGTCAGCCTGAAGCATGCTACCTCTTGGGGAAGCTGGAAGGCATCTTGAGTAGATCAATTGAAGAGAAGACAGAAACTTACTCATTTTTGATTCCCCTGGTTCGGACATTGGTATCCAAGATTTATGAACTTCTCTTCATGAACCTGCATCTTCCTTCATTGCCTCCTACCAATGGCAGCCCATCTTTCTTTGAGGATTTTCAAGAATACTGCAGCTCTGATGAGTGGCAAGTTTATATTGACAAATATGTAAGTAGTAGATTCTTTTTGATTCATTTTCCCCCATTTTTTAGCTATGAAAGCAGAGGAACTCATTCAGAAATCATGTTGTGCCTTTTGTTTTGGTGGAACCAGATCATTCCAAATATGAAGCAGTATGAAGAGAATTCATTCAGACATGATCATGAGCAGATGGCAGTTTATTGGAAAGATTGTTATGAAGCATTTATGGTGAACATGCACAAGCGAGACCGGGAGAGAGGAGAAAGTAAGCTTAAATTTCAGGTAAGGTTTTGAGTGAGTGCAAGTTTCTCTTAGGAGTTGACTTCTAAAAGATGGAGAAACTGAATTCCAGGATGATCCAGTTCAAGTGACTGCAGGCAGGTTGATTGGTTTAAGATGTTATGGGCAGTGTGACTTGTAGGACGTGCTTTTTAATTCTGTTATTTCTATTTAAGAGTCTTACCTGTAAGAGTTATTTCAGGCCTTTCTCATAGTACAGCAACCTAGAATTATGCTCAGCTATAAGCTACATCTTCTTTTACTCTGATTTATGTTTTAAATTATTAAAACCTCTTCTCCATTATGAGATGAGTCAGTGTGTTGGGTTTTTTTAACCCTACTTCAATACAATTAAAACATTTAAAACAGTGAACAGCTGCTATTTAATGTGTGGAAAAATTGATTTTGAACTGGCCTTTCTGTATAAGGTCCATACTCAGTTTAAGCATTAGAGCTAACTGGTAATTATCACAGATAGGTTACATCTTGCTTGTTTTCCCTTTGTGGCCTTAGTAAGGATCCTTGTAGTAAGTCTTCTTTATTCAAGTAGCTAAAAGAAGAATACAATATGAGTTACATTCTAGAATACTAGAATTTAAAGAAAAATCCAACCTATTATCATAGGATTTCCAATACTGACCACTTTTCTGATGATGAAAAATTGCTTTCATGTGGATTCAGCACTGGTAAGATTTTCTTCACATCTTTAAGTCAAAGTTTGGCACCTTTTCTTCCAGTACTAAGCTTTAAAAAATTTCTTGTAAGCATTATCTTAAATGTTGAGAAGTTTTTAGTGCTAAACTTTCTTTGTTCCTTCTTAATTTATCAGAACTCTTTCAAGCCACAAAATGGTGTTTTCAAAGGTCAGAATTATTTCAGTGATATGTATATTTTTAATGATCTTTCAGGAGCATTTTGTGGAACCATTTAGGAGAAAGGCTCGACAGGAAAATCTGCGTTACAACAGTATGCTAAAGCAACTTAACAGTCAGCACACAGCTACCCTGAGACAGTGGAGAGCAGCCCAGCTTTACTTGCTTTCTGAACGTGGTCCTTGGTCTGAAATGTAAGAGTCAAGGTCTTAAACCATATATGATGCCTAAAAAGAATTTTCTCACATGACTACCTTAGTTTCACATGGACAGAACCTTTTCAAATTAACTCTGATAACCATTCTTGAGATGTGAATTTAATATCAAATGCATCTTTTACAATGTTTTCTGCATTTAATTATCAAAATACAAAGTTTGAAATGTAATGGTGAGCTGCTTGCCTGGATACTAGATTTTCTTGCCAAGTGACAAATAAAAATTAGTTAGTGATTGCAAAAACTTTTTGAGAGATTCTACAAATCAGTGCTTCTGTTGGAAAAGAGAGAGAATAGACTTGTTAATAAAGATTGAGTTCTTATGCATGAAAATAATTTCAGTTTAAAAGAATACATTTTGGGGAAGTTCTGGATAAAGTTGTTGGGGTTTTCTAATATTTTTTTTTCTTTTAATTGTCATTAACTGAAAGTGTAAACAATTTGATATATCTCAGTAGAAAATAGATACTATTTACGAAGTCTAAAGGCTGATCAGAGCTGCAATATGAAATTAAAATTCAGTTTATTGCTTTTATGTTTTACACTCTACAAGTAGATGGCCAGTATTTTTCTAAATATGTACTCTTTTGTAATCAGTTAATTCATGTAAGTCTTCTTATAACTCTTTTTTTTGATTATTCTTTTTTCCTAGGAAACAGAATCCTGTTCACTGGAAACTTTCAAATGTAGAAAATTTTTCACGTATGAGACTAAAACTAGTGCAGAACTATAACTTCAACGCCCATCAGGATGCTAGTGACCTGAGAGATAATTTAGGTAAAGTTGTATTTCTTACTTCACTTGGGATTCTTCAGTCTCTGCTGAAGAAAGATACACACTTTACTCTTTGTATTTAAGAGTCAGTCTATGGTAGGTACTTAAGTCTTGATTTTTGATAGTTCCTCTACAGTAAAATGTGTTTATATGAGTGGTGGTTTGACCTGAAACAGCATTTTTCTACTGAATAGAATTGATTTCCCCTTGTTTATTGAAATGTGTATTTCTGTTGCCAAAAAAAGATTAAAAACTCCTTTATTTTAAAATAAATAGTCACATAGCTTGCTTGCATAAAATTATTTTTCAAGAAAAGGAAACAATGAGAAACAATAATCAGGCAGTATTTCTTTAAAACATTTTAGAGCTTATTAGTTAAATGTATACATACCATAGAATGGTTTGGGTTGGAAGGGACCTTAAAGATCATCTAGTTCCACCCCCCTGCCATGGGCAGGGACACCTTCCACTAGACCAGGTTGCTCACAGCCCCGTCCAACCTGGCCTTGAACCCTGCCAGGGAGGGGGCAGCCACAGCTGCTCTGGGAAACCTGTGCCAGGGCCTCACCACCCTCATAGGGAAGAATTTCTTCCTTCTATCTAATCTAAATCTACCCTCTTTCAGTTTAAAACTGTTTGTCCTATCCCTACCCTTCCTAATGCAGAGTCCCTCCCCATCTCTCCTGTAGCCCCTTTCAGCACTGGGAGGCCGCTATAAGGTCTCCCTGGAGCCTTCTCTTCTCTGGGCTGAACACCCCCAACTCTCTCAGCCTGTCCTCACAGGGGAGGTGCTCCAGCCCCCTCATCATCTTTGTGGCTTCCTCTGGACCTGCCTGAGCAGCTCCATGCCCTTCTTCTGTTGGGGGCCCCCAGAGCTGGACACAGAAGGCAGAGTAAAGGGGGAGAATGCCCTCCCTCGCCCTGTTGGCCACACTTCTCTTGATGCAGCCCAGGACAGGGTTGGCTTTCTTGGCTGTGAGTGCACATTGCTGGCTCACAGTCAGTTTTCCATCCACTAATACCCCCTAGTCCTCCTCGTCAGGGCTGCTCTCAATCCATTCTCTGCCCAGCCTGTGTTTGTGCTTGGGATTGCCGCGACCCATGTGCAGGACCTTGCCCTTGGCCTTGCTGAACTCCATGAGGTTTGCACGGTCCCACCTCTCCAGCCTGTCCAGGTCCCTCTGTATGGCACATCCCTTCCCTTCAGTGTGTCGACCGCACCACACAGCTTGGTGTTTTCATCAGAGAACTTGCTGAGGTGCTTTGTTTCAGAAGTGTTCCAAACAGCTGTTAGTGATGTAAACTCTTCTTTAAGTTGGGTATATTGAATATCAAGGCTCAAACCAAAAAAACCCTACACTTGTAAACTCAAGTAAGGAAAAACCAAATATAGTATACTTCCATGAAATGTGCATGCTTTAACAGTGTCTGGCAGAACACTCTAAAATATTTTATTGGAAATGTCCATGACAAATTGAGTTTAAAATTTTCTAATGTGTTCTTCTTCCCTTTATGCTGTTATGATTTGACATATTCAGTGAAGTTCAAGGAGTATTTTTAGTGTTCTGTTTGCCACCAAAAGTATATAAGAAGTCTGGTTGCTTCTTACTTAGTTAAAACCAACAGATGTTACACTCAGTCGTTTGGCTTTCCAAACGTGTTGTAGTAAAAAATTTTCTGAGCTGAAATGTCTATTTATAATAGGTGTGCACCAGACACAGCCCTCTAGTGAGTCTCTGCTTCTGGAGGTGGTGAAGCAGGTGAAAGTGAGTGACTTGGAAGATGATGTTCTTGAACTACCAGAAGAAGACACAGCTGCCAGTTCCAATTTGTAAGTACAGCAGAATAGAACAGTTAAAATTTGTTTCTGTGCTAGGGATAAGCAGTGAGAAACAATTTAGGGAGCTGATTAGCATACAAAGCTTTCCTCTTTCTTTGTCTGGCCTTAACAGTCCAATCCAGGGCTTTGTAGTAGTTCTGAACAGCAGAAAAGTTGCTGTTGGATTTATCCTTGTCAATAATGAGACATAACAAGCTGCAGGGAAAAGAAGGCAGAGCAGATGTTTGCGAGGATCTGTTAGTGATTCACGGCTCATAGTTGGTCTGAAACTACAGAATTGTTGAGGCTTTTCTGTCGTGTACTTTGGCTGTAATTCTCTAAGAAGTATTCTGCCTTGTAAGGGCATAGACCAGACTGGAACTGTTTTTTTCTCCACAGGTGTCAGGGCCATCCTCTATACCAGCAGCTGCATAGCATGGATGTTTGCTTGGTTGACATTAATCTGCTGGAGAGTACTCTGTGTTTAAGAGTATTCCAGAGGGAAGGCCTGCTGTGCTTTCTTCATGTCACTTGTGTGACTTTAAAAAAAAAAACAAAAACCAACAACAACCAAAGGGGGTGTGGGGGGGGAAACGTGGGAAGATAGCAAATGCTCCATTAACTGGATATATGTGATCTTGTGTGTGCATCTATGTGTGTTTATGCTGTTGAAGTCCATTAGAGATGTGGCACATCTTTGAGTGATACTGATGCATTTTCTTGTACCTTAAAAGTTATTAAATGCTTGCTTGTGATGTGTCGTATCTATAGACTTCTGAGAAACTATTACTTCAAATACTTCTGAAGATAACTTTATGCACATGAACCAGGACTCAGCTCTGCTCTAGGCCAGAGAATTTAAGCATCTGGCAATTAAATAAGAAAGGGAAATGCAGCTTCATCTTTTCATACTTCAAGGGGAGGTCAAGTCCATTGTGCCTGAGACTGAAATATCAAGCCTGAAGAGCAATGCTGTGAAATGATGTTTGGCAGTCTAGTCTGAAATGTCCAAGACTGCTGATGGAAGTAGCTTCATATTTATGTCGTATTTTTAATGCCATTCATATCTAATTATTTTTTGGAATTGTACTCCTACCAAGTACATTAGCAACTGTATAATCTGCACAACCCTGTAATACTTAGTGGTATTTTTCTAGGGATGAGAAAGATGAGCAAAGTCAGAAAGAAAAGCTAATATTGTCTGAAGACTGTGAACTTGTTACAGTAATTGATGTGATACCTGGCAGGCTGGAGATCACTACCCAGCACATCTATTTCTTTGATGGTAGCATTGAAAAAGAAGAAGGTGAGCATGATCAATATCTCTTTATAGTGTAGTTCAGCTTTCTGTTTTTAGTAGGCTGAGTTTGAATTTTTCTTGTTTTGAGAATGAATTTTTTCAGTGAATTGAAACGAATTGTGAAGAGACAGGTTGTGGATCTGTAGTTAAAATTAATATTGTACTTGGTGGTTAGTGGCTGGCTGATCTCTTCAGAATCAAGAATCTGGAACTGTACTTAGCTGTTAAATTGATTCGCTATTCTTAGTGTTTCTTAAAAACTTTTAAAAACCCAACATTTATAAATACTGTTTGCTGACTAAAATAATGTCATTATCTCCAACTTGTTGCTTAAATGGCATCTCCCTGCTCTCCCTGACAAATAATATTTTGCTTGTACATTGATTAAAAAAATAATATTAAGTAATGAGTAGTAGTATTATGTAAGTATTAATAATTTATATTAATTTAGTGATTTTTTTTTTCATACTCAACTACGTATATTCTATTAACAGTGGAGTGAAATGTTTGACCAATAATGGTAAAATTTTCAAAGCCAGTATATCAGGAAGATAGCCTTTGGGGAATTTTAAACATAAAAGCTTCTGTTTGAGCCTGTTTAAGAAAGCAAATGGGTTTAGTTCATATTTTTTGTCAACAGAATACATTTATAATGTGTCTTTTGATCAAAACACAAACCCAAATTCTTCACTTGATCAGATGCTGCCTCTTTCTTTCATCAGAAACAATAGCCGAAGTTAATGTTTTCCTAGCAAAATGGTTAATCAATACGCATATAAAATTTGCCTTTTCACCTTTGGGTTGATTGGAAACGGTACTGCATTCTGTCTATGAAAAGTTTTTGATATATTCCAAGTCAATAATTAAAGTGCTCTTCCTAGGGGTAGGTTTTGATTTTAAATGGCACCTTTCTCAAATCCGAGAGATACATCTGCGTCGGTACAACTTGAGGAGGTCAGCTTTGGAGATCTTCCTTACAGATCAAACCAACTATTTCCTCAACTTCAATAAGGAGGTATGGGTTTCCCAAATTTCCTTGATTTATATAGTTAGCACAAGTGTCAAGTTTAAGTTCACTGATTGTGTCTAATTTGTCTGGTGGTGTTTTGCCAGTTATCAGTCCTAGCATAAAGGACACAGCCAGCATAAAGATGAACTAATAACCAGATTGTATTTGGTACAAAAGGGTCAGTACATGGGTGAGCGCTGGGGGTACAAACAAGTCAGTCAGATTATACATAATCGACATCAATCCCACTGACCCCAACAATGACACAGCACAACCAACAATGGGTGGAATCAATGGTGAAATGCAGTCTGCCGTGGAAGGGACGGGAGAGTCAACAAGCCAAACACAAGACCAAGGAAGCCATACACTGAATCTCTACACAGCCCGTGTTTACAGCAGCCAGAGCTGAGTGGAGCCCAGTCCCAGGGAGGCGGGAGGTCCTTCCCCAACAGGGAACTCTGCACAGGGCACCCACCTCACAGACAGACACTGCCCCTCCTGCCAGGGGTCCCAGCTTTTATCCCTCCGTGGGACGCCCGACCTTTGTTCACTGAACGCGGGACCCCTGGGGCTCCTTTACCCAACGGCTCTCCCTGCCAGGCCGGCACCACCCTGGGGGGAAGCCTGAAGGCAAACTCACCCCCCTTGGTGAAGGGCTGTGGGAATCACCCATATGTCAGCCTTCATTTGGGGTTGGGGGTTGAAACCCCAGCATTTCAGGTGTCTTTCACAACACTAACACTAGTAGCAAAATGTTTGCTAGATATATAGCCATTAAGGGAAACTAGACTGCAGTCTTGAAATCTTCAGTCTGATATCTTGAAACTGGTTAGTTGTGAAAAGGTTGATAAAACAAGATTGTTCTTTTTCCTGTCTCTTTCTCTCTTTCTGTTATAATACAGAACAATTATTCAACTAAAATTCCATCAGTAGTAATCTAAATATCTTGAAGTCCACACATCTTTTTAAATACTCTGAGCAAATTAATTACAAAGCAAATTAGACTTTCTATTTCACCACAACACTGGAAATCATTGCTATTTCTTCTATATTGCGTGGTTTAGGATTAGTGAACTTGTTTTTTCTCCTGGATAATGTCAGTAATCCTTAAGATAAATATCAGAACTTAGGGTGAGTTACGTACCAGTAGGTCAGTTTATGAGTAGTTCCTACAAACTGTTGTTTGGTTGGTTTAAGTAAATAAATCTTTGCAATAGTTTTGTAGGGAATACATCAGTGTAATTTTACTTGAATAGCAGCAATATTTCCCAGAATTCTGTGGCAATAATGATTTTCTACCCAAAATGAAAAAAACCAACTTTGTAACATATACTGCCTTTATATCTTATAACTGAAGGTTGTCATGTCGATTTATGTCCAGATGTTTTATGCAGCAAGAAATAGAAGTGTTCAAAAGTGTAACTGTGTTCCATTTATTTCACATTTTAATTATCAGAGAAGTTGTTTACTTGTCAGTTTCAATCTCCAGAATAATTTTTTTATTAATGCTATTTTCTAACAGGTACGAAATAAAGTATATAGTCGAATATTGTCATTACGTTCTCCAAATATTTCTGGGACCAGATCTCCACAGGAACTTTTTAAAGCTTCAGGTTTAATGCAGGTATGAGACTTCAGCACAAATGGTCTAGAGCATTCCTCTATTTCTTGAAGGGAGTCCTGGAAAGTCCTCAACTATTGAGTTTACTGTTGTTTGTTTTGTTTTTTTTTTCCCCGCAGTGTTTAGATGGCAACTGCCGACTTCTGTACCCTCAGTATGGCCCCTGAACTTTCACTTGCATAGTCTTAAAATTGATGTGTTTTGTGTTTACAGTCAGTGAGGTAAATGGATAGAGCCAGGCTTTATTGATGTGATTATGACAAGTATTCCCACAAAAATGGAAAACATGTAGCAGACTTGGTTTTGGTTTTAGTCCATGACCCTGAGTTCACATTTTGGAACTTATTTTCAATACATGTTATAATCTTTTTCCCTTCTATCTTTTCGTGATGGGGCTTTCAAGAAAACCCATGTGAAGATTAAGTAGGAAATAAGATCTTAAGGGAATTAGTAATATTGTTATAGAAGAAAAATGTTAAAATGTCTGTATTACCCTAAGCATGGATAAATTTTTAAATGTAGTAAATGTATTTTTATCTTCCATCTCTTTATGCCACAGTTAGGTTTTTTTCTCTGAGGGAGGAAGCTTTACAAATTACTTCTAAAATATTGGAAATACGTTGGTTTTTCTTTGTTTCCCTAATGATAGAAGATGTCATGTTTTATGTTTACATAAAGAAAATGTCATCTGCAATGAAATGCTTCATACTACAGACAGATATTGAGACCTTCTGATCTTTACTTTAAAATATAATAGTGGAGCAAAGGCTCGAGGACAATGTTAGTTCACAAATTCCTGTACTATTAACCAATGGGAGAACAATTTCTAATTAAGCTTTGACCTTAGAACTCTAATGGATTTCAAAGTTCTGTTCCCCTTTTTCTTAGTGCCTGTTTACCTGCCTTCCTTTTGTTTGTTTCATTTCTGCTTTTGTTCTTTTTTATTCTGAGTCTGCTAGTTGTCTGCTGACCTATATTTAAAACAGTACTGACATCAGCCAAGGACATGATTTCAATGAAATAGATGTAGCACAGTCACTGAATCAAAGGGAAAATAGACTTTATTAGGAGAAATTAAATTTGGACTTTCATACCAGTCTTACAACTTGTGCCTTTTACTTGCCAGTACTATCTTCTGGCAGACAAATACTGACAAGACATGTAATTTGCAGCAGTGGTATCTTTGATATAGTGACTTCTATAGTATCTTTTTTTGTCTTTCAGAAATGGGTGAACAGAGAAATATCCAACTTTGACTACCTTATTCAGCTGAACACAATGGCAGGAAGAACTTATAATGACCTTGCTCAATATCCTGTGGTAATTAAAATAAATAAATAAATAAATATTTTTTTGTCAAAGGTATGTATTTTTTTTTCTCTTTTGAAAGATGGATTTTTAATCTCAGTTTGATCTTTGACTTTTTTTTTAGTTCCCCTGGATTTTACGAGATTACACTTCAGAAGATCTGGATCTGAATAATCCTGCAGTCTTTAGGGATCTGTCCAAACCCATAGGGGTGGTAAATGAAAAGAATGCCAAGGCTGTGAAAGAGAAGTATGTGTTTGAACACTCAGTTATGTTTCTTCTGTCTTTTCTGAGCCGCCAAGCTAATAACACATTTTAAGAAGATAATTGTTACAGTGAAAATTTTTAAAAGCTACTTTTATAATATCACAGATGTGTTTGCAAAGGTTGTTGATTTGTTGTTCCCGCTGTGTTCAGGTTGGTTAGCTTATATGGAACTGAAAGAGCAAACTAAATTTTCAATTGTTTCTCAGATGTGGAAATAAACTGAAAGGGTGTTGAAACAGTGTAATGGCCCGGCAGTTTGAAGACACATACTGTGTCCCATGTCTGCTTCAAGATAAGGAATGTGAACATACTGAATTGAGTGGCCTGTGCTGAGAGGTAGCATTGATTCTAAATCTGTGCTTCCTGCTCTTTTTTTTTCAAGCATAGATTATTACCTTTGAAATAAAAATGTAACTTAGGGACTTCCAACAGCTCCTCTGTAGGTAGGAATGACAAGTACGTACACCCACACATCAGTATAGTGATCCTTCCTTTTTTTGCTAATGTGGGGAGTGAGTGTGCTATCATACCAGATCGCACTTACCAGGCATCTTCCAATACAAACTTTCTGCTGAAAACTTGGAACATGGAGAATTTTTCTTTGAATGATTAGGCTCTATCCCTGACTATAATGAAACTGGTTCTATAGTAGTAAGTTTAACTATAATTTCTCTTACTAGCCTTGTGACACTGAGGAATATATCAACCAGATGATGGCATAGTACTCTAGAGTGAGTTTGCCAGTAGAAAGAGAAATGGGCATAAATGTTAAATAAATCTTTTTTCTGCATCCTGACGCCATCACACACTCTTCTAATTTTTTTTTTAATTTTTTTTTTAAATCTTGCAGGAAACTGTCACAAGTCCCTTCAATAATAAATATTCAGCTTAGTGATGTGGGGTTTTTTTGTCTATTGTATAAAGTCGTGCTAAGTCAGGCCTGTCTTGCCCTTTATCCAGTTTCTGACAGCTGATAGCAAAAGCCTAGGGAAGAACAGGTATGCAAAGGCTTCATCTGGTGTACATTTATATCTTTCAGCAGTCTTTTGCTTAGGGACTTTCTAAGTCAGAATCAGAATCCTCATGTTTAATAGAAGTCAATGTATTTTTCTCTTATAGATTGCTGTGATTGTTTCATTTGAATCCTTGCCTTCAATAAGTATAATCCACATGTAAATCGGTTGTAGTGCTCAGTTGTATTTATAAAGTTGTTGGGTTTGGGTTTTTTTTTTTGTTTTTTTTTTTTTTTAAGATATGAGAATTTTGAGGATCCCCTTGGGATAATTGACAAATTTCACTATGGGACACATTATTCAAATGCTGCTGGTGTCATGCATTACCTCATTCGGGTAGAACCTTTCACAACACTTCATATCCAGCTTCAAAGTGGCAGGTATGTTGTGACCAAATAAGCAACACCTTTATTTTTCTTCCTAGTCATTTTACTGATCAAAGTCTAACCTGAGTTTTCTGATCCACAGATTTGACTGTGCTGACAGGCAGTTCCACTCTATTCCTGCTACCTGGCAGGCACTCATGGACAACCCCAATGATGTCAAGGAACTTATCCCAGAGTTCTTTTACTTCCCAGAGTTCCTGGAGAATCAAAATGGTAAACTGACCACTCAGAATATTCTCACAAAAAACCTGTTCTTGTATTTTTCAGAAAAGCATTGTTACAACCATTTGTGAATGCTGTGGAGCACTTATTTAAGCTTTATAGTGTGGTGGTAGAAATTACTTCAATCATCATGCTGGCTCTGAGCTGTTTAATGAAGACACCAGTTGTGTGAAGCAGCAGCCTAAATGTTTAAAATTCAGACTGTGGGCTTAAGGATGATTAAAAATGGTGTTGTTTACCTAATGTAAAATATCAGAGATGTTCATTGGGATGTCTGAAAAAGGTAGCAATATTTAATACTGAATAAATAGGGAATATTAATGCAGATTAATTAGTGTTCTTTTTACTGGGTTTGTTGGGTGATAGAGTTTGGACATCTTTAAATGTGTGAAGTCTTTTTATTTGTTCTAAGCAACCAGCATATTTTCTGCTTGTTGCTGTTATCTTCCAATGCAGTGTTACGTCACCTGATTTTAGAGCCATGTAAGGTTTCAGTACCCATCAGAAGAAGGGAAAAAAAAAGCGCCAAACCTGTTTCACTCCTGTATAATGCTGATTGAAAAGACAACATCCTGCATTCTGATATGAGACTCCTAGCCATTTTTAAATTCACATTTATTGCATAGGGAATTGTTTCTTGACTTATTAGATAATTTAAAAATGGGGTTTTATGTTTGCGCTGCTAATTTAGTCTGCTAACTACAATCTCCTAGAGTTCTAAGTTATAAAAATTGGAAACAACCAAGTCACGCTTTCAGAAGTCATCTAAGTGTTTAGAGTTGTTCTGATGAAAGCTGTTGGGATTTAAGACTTCCTGAAAGCCTTAATTCTACAGTCATTTAAACACATGAGTAACTTCATTCTTATGAATAACCTCACTGAAATGTTTTGGACTTTTAATCCTCATAAAGCAAATACATATGTGTTTACAGATATGTATGTAAATGATTAATGCTGCTTTTAAGGTTGGGACTTCAGCTTCAAAGTCATTTAGGTGCTTTGGACAATTGTTACCCTATATAATTTAACATTTTAAACATTCAGAGCAGAACTTAGCCTCACATGTCAGTGGTAGGGGTTTTTTTTAATAGGAATAATTTTTCAACATCCTTCCCTTGCATTGAAAGAACACTTTTAAATCTTTTTTTGAGAAATCAAGATATTTGAAATATTTTTTAGTAACTCTTAAAATTCTCCAAATCATTCACTAGGTTTTAACTTAGGTCAGCTTCAGATATCCAAAGACGTGGTAAATGATGTTGTTCTCCCCAAATGGGCCCACTCCCCAGAAGACTTCATCTATAAACACAGGAAGGCTCTGGTAAGATGATATTTATATGTGTGAAGTAATGATAAAGAAAGTACACCTATATATTGTCACTGTGGTTTAAGTGTAAAATACTTGGACTACATTTGAACTAGACTTGTGGTTGCATTGGACATTTCAAGTACCATTATATCTTTCATTTAAAAGCACTGTGCATGTCAATAAGATGCTCAAAAGAAAAAAGGGAAGAGCCTGAAGATACTAATCATTTGGGAATTTGCTGCCCTGGGAGGTAAAATTCAGAATTAGGTTGGTTTAGGTGATAAGGCTTCCCTTTTTATAGATTATTCTGTATGGTACTAGGGAGCTAGCAGTTTGCCTTCCCTTGCGCAGCTGTATTTCAATAGTTTAGATGTGCTCATTTGCTGTATTGTCCCTCTTTCCTGGCAGTTACTGCTGTTAACACATGGGTATGCTTCTGCCCTGTACGTTGGTCTATACCTAGTTTGTGGATACTCTTTAGTTTAGGAATTAAACCTCTTTCACTGAAAATAGTAAATGCTTCAAGAAGGAAGCAGTACTTTTTTATTCTTACAAGAACACTTTTTCCTTCTAGGAATCAGAGTATGTTTCTGCTCATCTTCATGAATGGATAGATTTGATTTTTGGCTACAAGCAGAGGGGACCAGCTGCAGTGGAGGCACTCAATGTATTCTATTATTGTACTTACGAAGGTACAAAGCAGTGTGCTCTCTTGTCATCAGACATGTGGGTTTTCAGTACTAGACAGAAAACACTTGATTTGTGAGTGTGCCATAAAGTAGCATGTGGTAAAACAACAGAATTACAGATGAAATATGGCAGCATAACTTGTAATTTATCATCAAATAACCAGAATATTTGATGCTTTGATCAGAAGTTGTCAATCTCAAATATTAATGAAGTTTTTTTAAAGGGGGTCTGTTCCAGTTGCTTGTATATTGTTTGTATAAGTACTTGGGGGTTTCTCATTTGCTTCCTTAAAAGCATTTGTGGGGAGAGATTTCTTATGGTTTAGGAGTCAAGGCAAGTTGCTTTAAAAACAACATTCAAGACAAATGTTAAGTCTGTTAATTCTAAAGGTGAATTTTGTGTGGCTTCTGTGTGCAACTTATTTAATGCATGATGTATATTAAATTCATTTGATAGGAGAAAAGCCTGCAATTCTTGCACTTACAGATACACTTAAAATTCCATGTGCAGAATGGAGTTTTTGGATTGTATTTTGTATGGAGGCATTGTTTGGAGGCTTTTCTGGGGTAAATGGTCATAATGCTGCAATTAATTTTGGGTTTGCAACATTTGTTGACCATGTTGGTTCTTAATAAATTATTTGGATTATGTTCTTTTTCTGGTTTTCTACCCTTCATTGTTCTGGTTGTGATCCAGGGGCTGTGGATTTGGATGCTTTAACAGATGAGAAAGAAAGGAAAGCTTTAGAAGGGATGATAAACAATTTTGGGCAAACTCCATGTCAGCTGTTAAAGGTAATGCTCTTTGTTCCCCCTCAATCAGACCTTTGTGGTTAAATCCAACTGTGTTATAAAGGACTTACGAAAAAATTGAGATGATGTTTTATAAGATACTGGTTTGCAGTTTTAGGAATGTTAAGTCTTTGCCACATTATCATTTGTAAAGGTCACACTGATGGAAATTTAGCATACCATTTTGAAAAGAAATGAATGTACTCTGAGAAGGAAAATCAGGTGCTTAAGAGTCTGTTTTCCTATTGATTGCCAGTAAGATTCTGAGTAGCTTATGTGACTTGAACAAATTGATAAACTTGTCTAATTTGATATTTCTTCATATATTGTCTCCTAGGAGCCTCATCCGCAAAGGCTTTCAGCAGAAGAGGTAGTGCAAAGACTAACTAAAAGTGATACCTCTACTCTGAATCTCTTCCAACACCTCACTGAACTGAAGTCATTCTTCATAGAGGTAGATGAGTTACTTGAAATTGTTTAGTCTAATCTGAAACTTCTGATGTACTTGAAGCAAAAGGTCATAACCCAGATGAAAATAAACTTGCTTCCTATTTAAAGAAAATATTTTGAAATGCATTGTATATAAAATGAGCTCTGTCTTTACTTAGCTCCGCAAGAGGTCAAATCCCATAAATTTGGATCTTCTGGCCACTTGTGTGAGTCTTGTTTGAATATTAAATTAGCTACCACGCCAAGAAAGCTAAGAACATCACTGGTGGTATCTGAGGGCTCACTGAACTTCCTAGCTAAACTCACTGATTTAGGACAGAGCCAGGGTTTTATTTCTGGTGTTTGCAAATAAGTATATGTGTGTACCAGTGCCTTGGAGTGCTGTACACATCCGAGGCTGATTCCAGAGGCTTTGGGTCTTACTCTTTACAGGTTGTAGATTTGTTGTTGAGCTCTTGAATCCAATTAGATCAAAACCCTGTCCTTTCTCTCAGGGAATCAGTGATGGTGTGCCCATTGTCAAAGCTGTTGTCCCCAGGAATCAGTCACGTTCCTTTATTTCTCAGGGAAGCCCAGAGATCTTGGTGAGTTGCATGTGTCAATACTATTCTTGGACTGCAGACAGTCAGGTGTTTGGTGGTTTTTTTTGGTTTTTTTGTTTTTTTAGTACAGCTTGTAGAGAAACACTGCTTAACTGTTCCTGTTCAAATGTGTCCTTTAACTTCATAATGAATGTCAGGTATAAGTTCAAAATTTTGTCTTCTGTAGAGAAGCCAGGCTCATCTGTTGAATGGCATTTAAGTGCTGAAGAGAGATGAGTGTAAGTTGTAGTGAGATTTGTTGTAAGTTGCCCACTTGATCTGCTTCCATGGTAGCAATTAATTACCTAATGCAATACAGCCCAGCTTTAAAACGACAGGATGGATTTATTAGTGGCATCACTATGTTTATCATTACTTTCCAACCCATATATTAAAATATACCATGTGTGGCATATACACACTCAAGACTACCTGCACCGTTCCTAAAATGTACTTCTGCGTTGACTAATACAGGTGCGGGTATCGTGGCAGGTGGCCAAATGATGAATGGAGGAGAGTGGTTTTGTATTAGCATCTGTATGTATGGTCTGCACACTGGCCCCTGTGCAATAATACCTGTGTTTTGCAGAAAAAGATGCTCTTTTCCAATAATCCTATTTCGTAGGTCAAACTTAATTGTTTTGGCTTAATGTGGTGTGTGCATATGTCATTTGGAATTTGGACATGTCTAAAATTCTTACTGTGTTTTTTCTAACTATCTGATGAAAATAACTTTGGATATTTAGACTCCTTTCTTTGTCAGAACTGTAGTACAGGTTTGGTTTTTTTTAAGCTTCCCATGTTAATATGTTAACTATTATTATGTTAACTATTAATGTTTACTATTTCAAAGAAGAGAAGCAACAGCTTAAACTGTCTGAATTGTAATGAAATATTTGAGAAGGATTGATTGGCTGGGTTTTGGGGTTTTTTTGTCTTCTCTTCCCACCCTCCCCACCCCACCCCCCACCTTCAACTTCTCTGGCCTGTGTAGAATATACACTATTCTAATTTGGTAATATGTACCATGTGTGGATTAACTCATCTGAGCTGGATTTTCTTTTTAAATTGTGTGGGTTTTTTTCTTTGTAGTAAATTCTCAAGAAGCATATGCTGGATTTTATGCAAACTCCATTACTATCAAAGTCAAGCAGAAAATATGCCTCTGGGTTTCACTGTTTTTTTGTTTGTTTTTTTTTTTTTCCCCCCTATTGAACTCTTTTAGGTAACAGCAAGTCTGAACTGTGTTATTGGAACTCATGGTTGGCTACCTTATGATAAAAATATCTCCAACTATTTTACATTTATCAGAGATACCACAGTGACAAATCCCAAGTAAGCAAATTATGAGAAGTGCAGATGAATGCATCTACAGTCATAAAATACAGTTCAACAATCAGTGGATTGTACTGTTTTCATTGGCTGAGTTTTCACCTAAGAATACTCTTCTGATGTTCAGTAATATTATCTCTAATCTGCAATGCTATTCTAGTAAAGAGTTTTGTGTCATTTTAAGGTTCTTCATTCTTAGAGCTACTTTTAATTTTTTTTTTTTTCCTAACTATCAATGAGAAAAACTTATCTTGGAATCTGAGGTGGGCAGTCCTCATACTTTCTTACCCTATAATCTAGGTGTATGCAGTGGTTCTGTGTCTTTGGCTTCTAGAAGATTCATTTTTTTTCTTTAATGTTACAGTACTTAGTAGGGACACGAGTTATCCATATAGAATTAAATTGCATGAAAGACTGAAAAGATAAAAGGTGAAATTTTGCTTCCACTTGCTGATGTCAGTGAAAGTATTGCCATGGATACAAGGGGGGCAGAATTTCACCTATTATGGTCTTTTTAAATATAGCCTCTTCTGTAGATGAAATTTCTTATTAATTTTTATGGATATAGGAAGTTCAAAATACATAAATTTGAACTAAGGTTACTCTTTACATCATTTGCCTACAGAACACAACGTAACATGAGTGGTCCTTTTGCACCGGGGCTGGAGATCACCTCTAAGTTGTTTGCAGTTTCCCATGATGCAAAACTGCTCTTTAGTGGAGGACACTGGGACAATAGCATCAGAGTGACATCTCTTACAAAAGGCAAGCTGATTGGACAGCACATCAGGCACATGGGTTAGTAACTCTTTATACTGTGGAATGAAAGGTTTTATGTATTGTACCTTGATATTTGGTCTTTAGGGAAAGAATTACAGCCGGTGCACTTGGGCAGACAAGTGTAGCAGTTATAAAGGAATGGTAGTGTGAGAACAGAATAATGCTTGAACCATGATTATACATAAATACTTGAGCATGGCCTTTTAGTCATTGTAGTGATGGTTTATGTAGTTTCAAAATAAGATTTGACTCCTGGTTTTAGGTAACAAAGCTGATGAAGTCAGGTTGGTACACCTGGCTGTACAATGACTTCGTTGTTTAATACAGTCTCATCAGCTGTTATGACAGTGAAGCATTCATGCTGACTGCAAATCAGGATACATTGTTGACATGTTGCATGCATGTTGTCCCTCTGTGGGAAATCAGTCTTAAATATCTGTGTGACAATTTCCTCTTTTCTTTCATTTATCTAGATATTGTGACCTGCTTGGCAATAGACTACTGTGGAATTCATTTAATTTCAGGCTCCAGAGATACGACCTGTATGATATGGCAAATAGTTCATCAGGTAGGTTAGTAAGGCATACTCTGAGAAGCACTTTCTGAATGCTTTTTTTGTGCTTGATGTCCTTTCTTTCAGGTTTGCAGGGAAGGTAGTCCACTAAAACTGATTAACATTGTAATTTTGTTACTCCCATTGTCTTCTGTGTTTGCAATATTCACTATACATGTTAGTTACTATATAACTAAAGTACAGTATTTTAGAGGCACTCAAATATTTCATAGATTATTTTCAGGATAAGCAAATATTATCCCTAATTGTGCAGGTGGAAGAATGGAAGAAGAGAGACACTGCTTCAGACTACCAGAATTAGTCAGAACAGTGTTTATAGTTGAGGACTTTTACGTTTCTAGGCTGCTGTTCATGCCAGTAGTTGCACTTTAGCATTGCGTTTCCTTGTGGGAAGTACTGACAGCTATGCTAGGAGTTAGCAAAGACAACACTAGTCTGTTACTTGGCATTTTAGAGTTCTTTAATATGGGTCTTATGCTTTTAGTCAGTGAAAGTGGTTGTGTGATGCATGTGTGTATTTACACTCCAAGTATGAGGCCATTTCCATTGTTATGCATTTTAAATGTTCATTTCTGATTGCTGCATTAGAGATATACAAGTAGGATTAACTGCAGAGCAGAGCTGTCATGTTATGGACAGTACATTTGGTCAGGTCACCTTGTACTTGACATTGAACTAGTGTCAGCACGTTAAACCAGTACCATGATGCATAACTGCATATGTTTTTGTGGAAGCTGTCTTTATGGTGGTAGTATTTATAATTCTTTCAAAAAGTACTTTGTACCAATGGTGTGTGGTCAAGAAGCCTTAGTGCTGACAACAGTATTTTTTTGTCTCAAGTGAGGATAAATGTTGGAAATTTTAGTGTGAGTTTAGTGTGAGTTAAAGAAGTCATCCTCTGGAGATTATATTTGTTTAGAATTGCTTTTTCTTAAGATTTTTACTGTATTATTTAATTTAATGTATACATGAATGATGTTGTATGTATTGTAAATTCTTCTTATGAAAGTTTTATTTCAGTCTTTACAAAGTGGCAGCAATGGACTGCATACTGTCACTTCCATTCTACTTGTCTGCTCTGCATTGTCACCCTTTTTCCCAGCTCTGTGTTTTAACACTTGTTCTGCATCCCTGCATGCTTCAGGCTTTCAGGACTTGGCTGGTAGTCAAGTTTCTATCAAAGAAATGAGAATAAGGAGTCCTCTGCAGAACTACTTACTGTAGCTTCTCTCTGAGCACTGGTCTTGTCTTAGAACTGGTTTGAGAATAAGTCTGTATATGCTGACGGTACACTCACTGGAACAAATGTACTAAATACCTTTGATGCCCTACAGTCATGTGGGAAAATGACTCTCTTTAATGAGCATTATCGCAAGATTTCCTTTACATATCATACTACTACTAGCCATGGAGAAGAATTATTTCTTTACTTTTCCTTAGAAAATGGAATAGAGTTGCTGTAATTTTAAGCAAAATAGCTTTCAGCTTCTTTAAGCTTGGCTATGAAGATAGTGCTTAATTCCAGGGTAAACTGTAAGAACCGAACAAGCCCAGATACACAGGTCAAGAAAAAGTGGGTGGGTCGGTGGGTAAAAAAACTCCTGTCAGGGCTGCTCAATGTGGTCCTTGCACACCTGGACATCTGAAGGCATAGAAACAAGTCAGCTAGGTAACTCTTTCACATCCACATAGTAACTGTGTGTTCATTCATTCTTGTGATTTCAGTAAATAGGGCTGCTGACATCAAAGGCAATAAATTGAAATTGGAATGGGTGAGTTATGCCTTTGGTTTTGGCCTATGTCAAATATACATCTCACACAACTGATACTGAAGATACCAGAAATTTATTTTTTGTTTGTCCTTCAGCTGCAAGAGAATGTGTCATTGCACTTTTTGTTACTCTCAGGGAGGAGTGCCTGTAGGCCTGGCACCTAAGCCATTACAGATCCTTTATGGGCATACTGATGAAGTTTCGAGTGTTGGCATCAGCACTGAACTGGATATGGCAGTGTCAGGATCCAGGGTAAGCATTCTCATACTTTCCCCTTCTTTGCTTTTTCTCTACTCAAACCACAGAGCATGTTCAAAGTTGATTAAGAATAATACAAAAAAATTGACTATTATATGATTCTTTTTCTTCAGCCTTGCCCATCAAGAAGATATGTGCCATCTCCCTTGCTGCCTGCTTAAATCAGGCTGTCTCAAACTGCACAGGATAGACCTCAGCTACCATGTTGTTGTTCTGCACAGATGAGCTTTAATTTTACTTATATGGAGATCTTAAGCTTCTCATAGAAATAATTCTGTGACAGTTTCTTCCCTTCTTCCTTAACCTTGAGGGTTCTGTGCAGTTTACTCATGCTCTACCTTACTGTACTACACTGGCAGGCTTCTGAAATCTGACTCTGTACTGCACATAATGCCTACTTATAAATGTGACCTATGAAATGGCTGATTTGCTGCCTATCCATCCCTTTGTGCCTGGTTTGCATTTTTTTTTCATATGCCTGTAATACGATGGCCTTGAGGGGAAGGCTTCTTTGTGTAGACTTCCTAATGCTTAGGAGTCTTGATCTCCAGTTAAGGATTTAAGTACTTTCTAAATAATCCCTCTGTATCTAAATACTCTTTCTGTGTATTGTGGTAACTTCCCTGATGAGTAACAACTTTCCTGACTTTGGTTGCTTCAGGATGGGACTGTTATTGTCCGCACTATTCGGAAAGGTCAGTACGTGAGGACTTTGCGACCACCTTGTGAGAGTTCTCTCCTGCTAACTGTTCCCAATCTGGCTGTGTCCTGGGAAGGCCATATAGTTGTCCACACCAGCATAGAAGGAAAGACTACTCTTAAGGTACTTAGGTTCATGGAATACCTCTGTTTCTTTCACTGAAGACTTTAACCATAAATGTACCTAACTTTATCCTTATTCTCTAAAGCAATGAGGCTTTTTGAGCATGCTGTGTCTGTTTCCTTTTTTTTAAATTATTTTCCTAGCCAGTTTCAGTGAAATTTGATTAAAAGATAAATCGCAGACATACTGTGCTCATGTAAGTTTCATGAAAATCTCCAAAGGTGTGAGGAAGATGCCCAAGCATGCTCTGATGAATATTCCTGAGAGAGCTGCTTTGACATGGAAAACTAGGGGAAACAAGTTTCACTGTGCACAGAAGTAGAAGCTTATAAGGGGAGCAGCAATTTCTGGGTGCAAGATGCCTAGTGACTACACTGATGTTTCTTGGGTTTGGATTGGAGAGATAGCTATAAGGTTCACAGTGTAGCTTATTCTGTCTATTGAATAGCTGTGTAGTTGCTTTAATAAGGGTATGAGTATGGAAAAGTTATTGGAAGACAAATTTATTGGATGTAGGCATGCTAGCTGCATTGGGAAGATGGAGAGAAAAGAGACCGATATATCGTCAAGCTGGAAGAACTTGAGATGGTCATGTTAGCTGCATCTTTAAGTCATCAAGAATTCGTTGCCTTGTTCAGAAAATGCCTCTACATCTAGTTCTGTGGAAACATGCCTATTTCATTCTGCTTTTCAATTTGGGGTGGTGGGGAGGGAAGATGGCAACAGGGCTGAAGATGAGAGTACTCTTCCTTTCTTCTTCCTTAATAAAAACCCGTATAAAATCGGCACCTGTCCATTAAATCCATGGATGTTTTCAGAAAATCTGGAATTGATTAGATGGATAGGTAAGATGTTACCATGTTACATCAAGAGGTAACGAGGAATAACTGCAAAAATTTCTATGCAGGACCTGGTATACATACAGTACTCCTGTCTTATTCAACAAGGAAACTGTTGTCAGCAATATTATCTGTGGGTTATTGCCCAAGGTAGCTCCTGTTAGTGAGGTAAAAATAAAAATAATACACTCTAAATCCAGTCAGTCCTCTGTAACAGGTTTATTTTTGATCTATTCAGGATAAGAATGCATTACATCTCTATTCTGTCAATGGAAAATATCTGGGTTCTGAGACTCTGAAGGAGGAAGTATCAGATATGTGTGTGACTGGCGAGTATATCGTGATGGGCAGCTTACAGGGATTTCTCTCCATACGGGATCTCTACAGGTAATGTACCACCATCAGTAGTTTATTACTGAGGTGCAAATATAAAGGCTTATTGAGAAATGGCTGTGTAACATGAACTTTGCTTGGTGCCGTAGGTGGTAGCCATTGCTTTTTTTCTATGTTCCTGAAAAAATTCTTTTAGGGGGGAACTAAGAGAGAGAAGAAAAATGAGAGATTGTACCAGACCCCTTTCTTCCCAGGCATTTATCCCAATTAAACAGCTACAACTGACATAATTCAGGAAGAGCTGTGTCTGACATCTTCAGGCTGTGATTGTCCCTGTGTCAATTAGTCACTCGAAACTCAGCAGCTGCAGGATCAAGCCTCATGTAGTTCTGCACAGAGTTTTAAACTGCACTTACTGCTACACTGTACAGCTCTATTGCTCCTCAGAGTGGGAGTGATCTTTGTCATTTAGGCCGTTGTGGGACTAAAGTTACAGTTCTTCAGTGAAAATGTCTTAATTTACTGACTTACCCTTTACCTTATGCCTTTTCTTGTTATTGGAGCTCTATTTGGTGGTATTATTAGATTGTTCCTTAGGAGTTTACAATAATTGAAATTGAAAACTAGATCCTTGAGAAACTGTTTTGTAGTGTATCCTGTGGACAGCAATTATAACTGCAGTGTGATTCTTTGCAGTATATGCGAACAAATACATGATGTGCTTTCTCTATGTGGTTTTTGTTCATTTCAGCCTGAGTCTGAGCATCTCCCCCTTAGCCATGCGACTGCCAATTCATTGCATTTCTGTCACCAAAGAGTATAGCCATATCCTTGTTGGCTTGGAGGACGGCAAGTTGATTATCGTTGGTGTTGGCAAGCCAGCAGAGGTAAAACCCACCATCAAGAACTTTTTCTACCGAACTGTGGGAAGTTCACTTATTTCTGCCTTCCAGTTGAGCAAGAGGTCTCCTCTATGGCAGGGTAAATTTAAGAGCAAGTTTCAGTTTTCAGTGGGAAAGAAATAACTTTTGAGACTGCTCTACTGAAATTTCTCATTAAGAATCAAAGGTATATAGGGAACACAGATGGGAAGCTCAGCTGGACTAACTTCTAGACTTTTATTACTCACATCTGAATGAGCAAAAGTCATAGTAGCTGACCTTTTCTGAATGTGATAGTGCTGTCAGCCACTTCTTGATGAAATAATTTTCCAGAAGAAAATTGGAAATGAGAGCAAGCTACTTTTTTAATGGTTTCTGTCAGATATCTTTTAATATGCATTGACTGACATTGGGGGAAAAAAATATTACTACTTTCTGTTAAGTCTCTCATTGCAATGCACAAAGAATCACTTGTGTAGGTTCCCAGTGTGCTCTGTGCTCCATATGGTGAATATAAACTTGTTGGTACTGCATATGCAATATCAAATACAGAGCACCCATCTGTCAAATAGCTATGCCCAGTTTTTCTTGTGCAAAACATAGATTTTGCTTTAAGTACTCCTTGTCATGACTTCCAGAGCACTTGAGTTAGCTTAAACCTGCTTCTCTTTATAACCCTCTGTTGTGCTGCAGTGTATTTATTTGAAAATGTGATTATCACTTTTGCATGACCTTTAGTACATTCCAGAAAAGTGTGTCTTAACTTCATTTTATATTTTAATTGTGAAAACAGAGCGACTTTATTTGCCTGTATTTTAAAATGTTATAGCTAGGAGATGTATAGTTTTATATTTGAAACAATGATACAATGGTAGTCTGATTTTGCTTGCAGTGGATGGAGAGAGGAGACTTGCACTGACTTCCAGTGTGGACAGCGTTCTCCTACTGTAAAATTGACAAAGAACTGCTTGTGATGTGGTTAAACATATATTTGTAACAGCAGTTTTAAAGTCACTGTCACTTCTGAGCTTCCTATTCCGTAGAAAAGATCTTTTGTAGGATGGAATTTGTGTACTGTTAGACTGAAGGCTTTTTGTTTCCTTTTTTTTTTTTTCCATCCTTAATCACATTTATTTTTTTAACTATGGAGAAAGTGTTGTTTCAAAGACTGGATTTCTTTTATGAATGTAGAGGCTTCCCAATGACTATTTTTTAGGATTTTCTGTTTATAATTCAGATGATCTGCAAGCTTAATATCTATGTAAATAGATTTTTTAAAAAAAAACCCACAAACATATAAGGAACAACATTATGCCCCAGATTTTCTAGTTTTCTATAATTGCATCAATCAATATATTTGAAAAGCGTGTGTATGTGGTATATTTATTTGTTGAATGATTTATTTGTAGCCTGGAAGAAATATATTAATTACTAGAATTTTTTCCTTATACAGAAGACAGTGTTGTAGTTCTGGCTTTTGGTGGTGATATTGATCCTTAGGATAAAGGGAGAAACTGACCTTCTTTATTGTGCATAAAGTGAAATGTTGCTTGGTATTAAGATTGGCCTTTAGTGTTTCTGCATTGACAGTATCCAGTATGAAGTGAAATACAATGAATATTTCTGTATTTTTCACAATTACTTAGATGTTTGGGATGTTGCAGAAGTCTGGGAGATTATCACCTGTTAGTGTTAATCCCTGCCAGCACTGCGCCTTTTCTAGAACACTGTAGCTGTGATGATACAGTTCTTAAGCATGTTTAATTTGTGATACTGACTGCTGGGAACTGTTCTCAAACTTGTGATGTTAAGGCATGCATCTTGTTTATTAAACTGCAAGGGATTTCATAACCTAATCAGCTGCCAGGCTGATTGCTACTGGCCAAACATAAGCCTTGTATTTAAGGAGGAAATTGAAACAATTTCTTACGAATTGTTGACAGATTGCAGACCTACCGGATGCTGGATTTAATATGGCCTCTGGTTGCTTGTTATTTGTCTTGATTTATGGTATATTCAGTATGAATTATCTCTGGTTTAAATTTTACTTTGAGCACTTCAGCCAGGATCTTTGGAAGACTGTATAAATTTGACACCAGGTGATAAACTTTCTCTCTTTCCTTCCTTCCTTCTGCCATCACTGCCCTGCATTTTGGTTATCTTTTCCTTTTCACTTCTGGCAATTTCTGTTTGAAATTTCTAAAATAAAATGTCCTTTCTTCTAATTTGGTTCATTTTTGCTTGACATACATCTCTTTTTTCCTTCCTATCAAAATAACAACCTAAACACTGTTTCTTAAGCCATTTGAAGTAGGTTAAGTATTAAGTATGCGTTACTTGGCAATATCCCTTTAACTGTTCAAATCAGAGAAGTCGGACTAGTGTGTTGTCTGTTGTTTTTTGTCAGTCCCAAGTATCATCTCTAAGTGTAACTTTTGGTTTATTTTCAAATAATTTTTGTTGGTGTAATTTTGTTATGCAGTACATTTGTAGTGTCTGCATTTCACCAGAATCAGTGTCTGAATTCCTTTTTAATTTATCCACCTTATCCCTTCCCCCTCCTTTTGTTTCTCTGAATTACTTTTAAACAGATGCGCTCAGGTCAGCTTTCCCGAAAGCTGTGGGGATCAAGCAAACGGCTCAGCCAGATTTCATCAGGAGAGACTGAATATAACACTCAAGATTCCAAGTGATTGCTGCTTCTTCCTTCGCTCATGGATTCCAGAAACATGTTTATTCTTTTGGTCACTTTAAACGTGTATCTCAACTTTCAGGGCTTGATTCTTAAGTCTGTTGAAGATGAACCTATGGTAGAGGTATAGTAATAAGCATATGTATTCATGCAAGTTAGTTTGCTTGCATATTTTTCCTTAACTGTGTTGACTTGGTCACAGCAGAATCCTTCTCTAAATAGCTGCTAAAACTGCATTTAGAAAAAAAGGAAAGAAGAAAAACAACAAACCAAACCCAAACTCCAAACTGCTTGCTAATTGAACTTAAGATAAGTAGCATTTGATTTAAAGCTGAATAGGGTCAGATGCTCCTTGATCACAAAGAAGATACTTGGCTTTGCTTTGAAAGCGTTGTAGTTCCCCAACAGTAAATTAAAATTCTGGTGGCTGCAGCCGTCAGATTCAAAATCAGGATAGCTGACAGATTTGACCTTTTCAGTATGTTTTTTAGCCCAATGAACAATATGTTGCAATTTGTTGTAAATGGCTATTGCTATCTTTTGTGTAGTTCCAGTTTTAGGCTGTTCTTCAAGGAACATCTGTGTTGCACTACTTGATCAGAAATTGTTTAGAGTACAGACATTAGTAACTTCAAAGGAGTTGAATGTGGTGAAGGAGCTGAAGGAGGTAGGAAATAGTTGCTGCTGAAAATTATTTATTTTGTTAAGTAGACTAAGACACACATCAAAAAATCCCATAATATATTTACTATCTTGAAGAAATACAGAGGAAGAATCAGTATCTATATTGGTCAAAGACAGATCTGCTTCATGAGTAAGGCAACTCCTACAAACAAAAGATAAATTTCCACTGTAAAATCATTTACACAACATTGCAGCAGAATTTAATTAAATAGCACCTGTTTGTTTCTTGGCTGGGTGTTCACCAAACCAGGTGTTAGCCATATTTTTTTCTTTTTCTGTAAAAACAAGCAGGGAAGCAGATAATGTATCCATTTTCAAGATGTGTTTAAGACCTGGGAAAAGAAGATATCAGATCCTTACATGTTTTATATCCAACAAAATAGTTATGGATTATATGCTATATTTTGGAGAAGCCCTTACTGAATTTTTTTGGTTTAGTGATACAGGATGATAGAAGGATGTGTGTTTTCCTATTGATCTGACATTTTTATAATGTTAATGGTTTAAATGATAAAGCCCATGCTCTTAGAAAAGGCTGGTGCTGCGGGATAAATACTAATTTTGGATTGGTGTGTGAAGGGGGGTGTGTGTGTATATATGTGTGTATGTTTGTATATATATATGTATATACATGTATGTATGTCTATTAAAAGGAGAAAATACCATGGGCTTAGGGGAGTACAGATATAAGGCAGAGCTATAAGTGATTGTTGGCTAGTATGTTCCCTTTTGGCTACCCCTTTCTTCCCTCTACCATCACTTTTCGTGTTATTTTTATTTATTTATGGAAATGAATGTTTGTTGTATCTCCTATAAATGTTATCAGATATTCCCTGTGGCTGGGGAGCTGTTGAACTACCTGAAGAATTCCATAATGTATAATCTCATTTCATTAACTTTTAGCACAATATTTATTAATTTTGTAGAAATAGTAATACCTCCTTACCCCACAAAAGGATAATCTTTACAGGTTCTCTTAGTCTCATTAAAACGGTTTTCTCCTCCTCAATTTCTTTATTGGGAAAAAAAAAATAAATCCCTCTAACGACTGATTAGTGTGCTGTGTAAAGAAAGTTGCATTGCTTTTCCTTCTGTAAATGTTCACTAGTCTGATTTACTATTTCGAGTGGGTCTGTGCATAGTTGCAATATTCTAACTAATCACTGTGATAGACTGGGTCATCGGGAAAGTTAGGAGAAAAGAATTATTTCCCTGAGTCACTTGACAAGGGATCATTGAATTTACAAAAGCAGAGCAGTGTTTTTCAGACTCCATGTATGTAGAGAAAAAAAAAAAAAAAAAGCCAACCAGAAAACCCAAAACTACCACAGCCCCTATTTTCAAATAAGCTATGGAGGAGTGAAAAAATACTATTTAATCAATTATCTATCTGTTAAGAATACTAAGGATACTCTGGAAGTATTAAATGTGTATATGAGAATGTGAAGTATGTTTGTCCGTTATGATTTCATGAAGAAGGGATTTCAGGGGAGCTCTTTTAAGAGTAGTTAGGAGAATTTCAGCTCAGAAAGCAAGATTTTCCTGTGTTGGGGGAAGTTGAAAAAAATAACTCCTTTGGGACACTGAGTTGATGGTTTTTATAAGTATGCATATATGTTCTATTTAAATGCATATATGAGGTTAAATGTTACAGGAGAAGGGGGCAGTGAATTATGATGTTTTGGGCTAGCAGAATCCAGTGGAAAAAATGAGGAAATAGGTCTTCTGTAGCATCTGGTGAGAACATAGTTTTCTTTTTGTCACTTCCACAGAGAGGGTTGCATAACGGTTTGAAAATGTCCTTGGGTTAGGTGAGTTTATACAACAGTTGAAATAATGTTTTTAGTAGTTTGATACTAAAGAATGCTGAATACACTGTGTCAGTTTAATTAAAATATAATGTAGTTGCAATAACTGGGGATGAAAGAGTTTATGGTGAAGAGCTCTGACATTTGAATACCATCATTTCAGTACATCACAAGCATTAGGTGATCTTCACAAATATCTGGGACAGGTTTAAATGCATTCTTGGGCTCTCAAACTTGAGGTTAGTTTGTGCTCAGCATAAAGCATCAGGAGCAGAATGAGGAGGGGGACAGGTGAGCTCTGAGCTGCTTCATGCTCTACACAGAATGGCAACATGTTAGCTTTTGGTCTCTTACCTGGTCCTGGAGGATGGGAGCTCTACACCATCACATGCTTAGCATTCTTGCTAGAGGCTCTCTGGAAAGACCCCCATATGTTTGAAGGTCTGCACTTTGCCTTTACCTAAAACCAGCTTTAAATAAAAGATATAGCTTGTACGCTTGAGCATTAGCTGGTATGTTGTTTCTATTGGTTTTAACTTATTTGTGTAAGTTTTTAAAAGGAGAAAATAATTTTTCTGATCAGCTGTTTAGGTTGGTTGAATTGTAGTCTCTTATGCAATGAACTGTGAATTACTGAACTGACTTTCATAATTCTTTGATTTCCTCAAGTCAATAAAGCTTAGGATCACCTTTTGTTTTTCACATAGTATTGGTGAAATAAAATTTCCCTTTGTTTTTGAACTAAGATTTCTCTATAGGAAGTAAAGCTGTGAGATGAAAGAATTCTGATTAGAAATTCTGAATAAACAAGTCTTAAGTGACAATTGATTCGTAAAACTACATTTGTCAAGATCATCTTGGTGGTATCTTTTAATTTTTGGAACAACCCTAATGATACTTATTGAAGTTTAAGATATGTGTACCTTTGAAGCTGAGTAAGTAAGTAGAAGTGTAAATTATATATATCTAAAAGAAACTGAAAACTGACTATATCTTTTTTAACCTGTATATAAATGAGATCAAGTAGTTAGCAGTATTGAGTACCTTCTCTGTAGCACAGTTTTGAACTTGCATACCAAAGGACAATATTTAGAAGACATCTCTCCTTTATTTCAAGTAAAATGTTTTTTAGATTTCTCTTTATCAATTTACTTATAATTACTGGTAGTGTTTTTAGTTGTCTTTTTATCTATAGTGAAGAATCTCATCTAGTCTGTGCAGTTCTTGTACTATATGAACATTCAGAAAGTGAAATGTTTGCTGTTCAAGTTAGCATCTGACTCATGTGAATTATTCTACATGAATATACTTGTTAGCTAATACTGGCTCATAGGTTATCTAGAAACCACAACTTCTGTCATCCATGTACCTTACCAGCACAAAATAATGATCCCAATCTTAAACTAACTGCAATTCTCCTAATGGTTAATACACATTGTGCAAATCAGGTTTTAGGAAGATTCTTTGATTTAAAAAGAAAAGAAAAAAAACAGTAACACCCCCCACACACACACATTACATTTGTTTTTCTAATCCTACATTGGTATAAACAAGCTTTTTTGTCCTAGTATCCCTTCGATCATGAATATTATCACAGAACAAGTTTATCAACGTCTTTACAGGCTTTAAATAGTTTAAGTCAATTGGCTGCTTTATAGGGATTTTCTATGAAGTTGTATTTCTGTGCCCTTTAAATGAAGTGCAAAGAACAAAATTTCTGCACTGTAAAAATTCCATATGGGACTGGTAACTGTCATACATCAGTCTGCTTTTATACATCAGTCTGCTTTTAAGATAGTCCTGCAGGAATGATAAATTCATTTTTATTTGTAATGCACAATAGTTAGGTAGGTCTTTTAACTCTTGCCTTAGGCAACGGAGCTGTATACCTCACTTCCTTAGACTATGTCTCACTCCTCCCTGTTTCCTCTGCAAGTCCTTCCCGATATTAACAAAATCATCAGAAAATACATGTCCATCAACCAAATGCTTCACACAGCTTTTACTGTGTATGTGTACTTAGTTGAAAACGTGTATCTCTATATGGATGATGATATGGTAAGGAGCTTTAGAGCTAGGGAGGGGAGTAGAGAGGGGGTCAGTCTCCTCCTGTTCCTACAGTTGAGAGTCCATGTAGACACTTGCTCTGTGTTGTCACCTGAAGTCATTCCTTCCACTTTAAAGGCACCTTGTTGGCTACGTTGGATGCCTAGGCTAGGTGCTGTGAATATTTAAATTGTTTTCCTTCCAGAGAACAACCACCAAAAGCACATGTAAATGCATATCCTAATGGCAACCTGATGCCTGATCTAATGAATACTGTTAAAGCACTGCATAGGGTTATATTTAATTGGGTGGAAATTCAAGCATGTGCTTTAGTGCTTTCTAGAATAGGCTTTCCAAGCTTTTTGGTTTAAAAGCTATGTTGGTCAGCTGTAAACATGACACTAGTCAGTAGTTTCCTTTTGGGGAGAGTAATAGGTTTTGTGCAGTCATAGGCATGTGGGTTCATTGTATACCAATGAAGTGTTTGGAAGATATCTTTCCTGCCATACCAAGGAGCCAAATTGTCCTTATTATTACTAATAGCCCTTGTTAGCACAGACTTTTAAAGGAAGAAAGGGTTTTCTGAAAAGCTAATGCAGTTAAAAAAAAGAAAGTAAAATACTTTTGCCCCTTTCTTCACTATTATAGTCATCAGATGCCTGATTGCAGAAATGCCTCTGAGTGGCAGCATAGCATGCTTTGCACAGTTTGAGTCAAGTGCTGTTCATCTTACTGCAGTCTTGAACACCCCATACACGAGGAACTGTTTGTAGTGTTTAATCAAAGGTACCTTTTGTTCAGTTTTAATTCACCTTGCTGTGCATCTGTGGGAGAAAACTGGTGTGTCTTTCTTTTGGTTACTATTTACCCAAATAGCCCAGATAAAAAAGGTGTTTCACTAATTTTCTTCATGACAGAGTTCCTCCAGGTATGTGTTTGTTCTATTTTTGTCTACTGGACTTAGGAAATTTGGCAAGTATTTCCAGAGCTCAGGTCTGTGTTTATACTCTGCAAAGATGCAATTTCATAGCACATCTTCTGTCCCAGAAGCATGTCGATATAGATTATGCTTTAAAGTTGCCAAGGTGTTTTGAGATTGAAATATAAAACATCCAGCCATACATATATCATAGCTCTAACTGAACTTAGAAGCCACTTGTTTATTTAGCTTCCTATCTAGTCAGTATTTTCCTCTTGAGGGAGCCCTATTTTTTTCCTTGAAGTAACTTTTAAAATAAACTTAGTCTCACACCTGACAGTACTGCTTTAGTCATACGTAGCTGTGAGCTGTTGCTTAAAGAAAGCCGTGAGGGGAAAAAAATTCAAGGAAAGCTTGCAATACATTTTCTGACTCAACCCTTCACTATGCAGGAGCAGCTTCATATAAGGTTAGAGAAATGCTGCTTGTAAGACTTATCTCCCTTTGGTCAGTGTTTTAATGGAAGCTGTGATGCTACTAGGTTTGGTTGATACATTTTTACTAAAGTTAATGAGGGAGTGGAAGCAAAGGCCTTACAGCAACAGTTAACCATATCTTCTGATAATTCTTACAGATTGTGCAATTATGTGATTACAAATGGGTTTTTAAATGCCAAAAAATGCCTTTAAGAGTTAAATGTTAGGTCTGAGGAGTGTTGGAAATACCTACTTTTAAAAATGACCCTTCAGGCACTGTAATGAACTTGCTGTCAGTCTTCTGTGCAATATCTTTTTCCCTTCTGGGTGCTTTAAGAGTATATTGTATGTCTTATTTTGTTTTGATTGGTATGTTTTAAGAGTGTGTATATTGGCTAATGATAGATATTTTTTTTTTCTGTACAGCATGGTGGAAGATGTTTTAAAATTTTGCACTTTTCTAGGATTTGCAAGTTTGTAATCTTACAATTTTTAACGTGCACACTTTTGTACATAATTAGCATTGTATATATTTAACATGAGTCTGAAGCAAATAAAAGTAATTGAATGCATAACTTCTCCCTTTATTAATAGCACAAAAATTAAACTAATAGTGTGTGTGTACACTGAATGAACAATTTCTATTAGCAGGTAAAGCTAGGCAGCAGGAACAGCTGACTTGATGTCTTAATTGTGTTACTTTTGGGGGAGGGTGAAGGAATCAAAGTGGATACATGAATGTATAGACGCTTTCAGACATAGAGTAGCTATGCTTTAGCTTTTGCTCAAGTATTGCAATAAAAATTGTCTTTTTGTTGGGAAGGGGAGATGCCTGAGACATATAGGGTAGGGAAAAGAGCCCACTATTGCATGTTTATTTATAAAGATAAGGTTCTCCACCCACCCTGGGACTAGAAGTATCTCTTTCCTTCCTCTTCATTGTCTTCCCATACAGTGAATTTTGCTGCAGAATATGCAAGGCTACAGATTCTGGAGATTACTGTCAATCAGGAGGAAACTGAAATCTGTTCCAGGCTCATGTTCAGTTGGTTTTTTACCCCTGCAAACAAGACAAACCATGCTGTGAGCTTTAACAGGAGCTAGGAATACTGTGCTTCTATCTGCTACTAGGGATAGAACAAGGCATCCTTAGTCATAACAAGCAGAGTTTTGACTCTCTCCCTTGCCTGCATCACGGGACATACATATTATATTTCTTAGTAATGTTCATATGACCAAAGATATGAGTTCCCTTGTTCTAGAGTTCAGTGCATTAGGACCAGACTGGCATTCCCCTGGCCTTCAATAACAGAGCTGACTACTGGGGCTCTTTCTGTGAATGGTAACTATAGTTCAGAAACATGAGCATCAATGCATGTAATTCTGTAGCATTTACTGGGCAAGTCAGACAGCCTTTAGAGCGCTGTCATACTGCTTGCTCCTTTGAAGCATAAAGGAATACTTATGTTTTCCCTAAAGAGAAACAGAAGCAAGGGTTTAAGAAACTTCTGACATGGGGGACAGGCAGCATGTGCCAGGAGTCTAACAGAAATCTCTCTACTTTTCTATCTGAAGGAGGATATCGATTCAAGTGAAGATTTACCTCAAAAACAGACGTGCTCCTGACACTCCTTGCAAGGTGGCTTTGTCTCCTTCCACTAGCAGCATTGCACCTTCCCGCAAGCCCTAATGTACGTGGAAACATTTAGCATCATTTTCAAGCTATCTGAAAGGCTATAATGCTTGTTACAAGCAGGCCAGTCTTAGTGCAGCTTGCCATGACTACAGACAAGACTTTCTTGCTCGCCTAACAAAAATGCCAAGACAAAATTGTCTTGGTTTAGAAGCTGGTTTTCTTGTTTATTTTATTTTTCACTTTTAAAGGAGAAACCATTAAGGAGAAAGAAAAGTTTGTTTTTTCCACAATTAACTTCTGCCACAGCCATTCTTGAATCCAGTTTGGGCCAAGCAACAGCCGGCTGGGTTTCTTAGAGCACAAACTTTTTATACTCTAAGCTCAAGCATGAGGACAGGAAACATAGAGGTCCCACTTTCCCAGACAGACATGCTATAATCACAAACATGCTAGTGAATGAGCAAATTCAGAAACCTACAGAGATTAAAACAAAGTGTAAAGTTAAGAATATCTGTAAAAAGATTAAGGGGAAGTATCTTACCATCTGCATGCACACCACCCCCAACATATAACTGGTGGCCAGTGACTGGAAAGATCAGAGCTGCCTGCAATAGTGCTTGGCAACAGGACTCCAAGCATCTAATAGGCAGAATGCATTTCATTTGTTCTAACCTGTTTTCTGCAAATGAGCAAAATCCATGCCACAGCTCTTGTAAGGCAGGGGAACCCACACTGAAAACTAGCAAGAATGCATTTAAAATGTTTACCATGCTACAGCCATGAGCTTCCTGACTGGGAACTACTACTCACCAGAACAGGAGGGGTGTTTGGTTCTTCATGATATTGGCGAATTCTTTCCTCTCTTGTCTCCTGCAATAATGAGTGTAGATTTAGTTGCCCAGGCAGTAAGGTAGGACTTGGGAGTTATCCAAGTACCATGACACTTAGAAATTTCATAACATTAAACAAAGCAGACCCTTCCCCTCAAGCAGAATAGAGGGGTAGGATTGACTGTGATGTGTATTTTACCTTTCGCTAGCAGCAATTGCTGTAAGTTGATCAAACAGAACTTGCACAATCCCAACCCTGAAAAGCCTTAAAACTAACTTCCACTCAATTCATCCAGTTTTGTTGTTTTGTTTTTTTTTTTTCTTTCTAAATGCTATTTCTATGTGCTCACTCTCAGAAAATGAGCACTGAGGAAGGTGGTGGAAGCAAATGCCTGAGATGTGACCTTCATGAAGGACAGTAAATCATGGATTTCTGCTGATGAACTATCTGCTTGTTTGTCCTCATGCAGAGGACACTGAAGAATTTCCTTTTGTGAACACCTCTGCCATGTTTCCTGAGGGTTTGCTGCTGAACTGAGCAATGGTAGTTAAAGAAATTAAACCAGAAGGATTTGTTAGTAAGGAAACACAGGAACAGAGCAGGGACTTGGTATAGCACAGAGCTTCCAGCCCACTGGAGAAGTTAAGACTGCATGCTTATCTAGTGACAAGATGATTAAAGGAGTACCTGAAACTTCATCTAAATTGCATGAAGCACACCCTGATCTTCCATCTCCTCACTGTCTCCTAATTTTTAATACCTTAGCCATGAAGAAACTTTGATTACAAGTAAGAATTGTGCATGTTAAAAGATGCACTACATAAACTGTTCTCTGAGGAAATTTTATTTTAGGATCAGCTCCTCCATACAGTGGAGTCTTTGTGCTTGATGGTTAAAGTGTTTTTTCTTTCAGCTGTGCTAGTACACGTGCTTGCTCAGTACCAGACATCACAGGGTGTGTGCTCTGCAAGGACACTAGTGCCTAGGTATTTTCTTACACAAGAAGATTGCATGCAATCTCAAGATCTCCTTGTTCTGATGGTTCCTACAGACTTTTAAGATATTTAAGCCTCTTAAACATACATTAACTTAGCTCTTCTCAAGCAGGCAAAAGACTGTGGCAGGACTTTCCAGAAACACAGTGAGTTGCATCTTAACATTTCAAGTTTATCTCTTCCCACCCCCCAATTCCATGCCAGGTATGAAGCAACACTATTTCAGATCTTGCAAAGCTTCTCTTCGTGAAAAACACTTTGTTCCACCTCAGTAATACTGTTGCCAACTCCTCTTCCTACTCTTAAGAAAAGCTTTAGGAGGGAGTAAAATGTTACTGCCTCACTGGTGTTTCCAGTTGCTCTAGGGAGCAGCTGTTAGACATTCTATAGCTTTGTAAGGCCTCACAAATGCACACTATCATTACACCTCTGCACCCTGTGTTAGCTCTGGCATGCTTTACTTACACCCATGTGAGTGCTTTTAACATCTGGGTCCAGGTAGTGGGGATTAATATTAAAAGGAATTAAACCTAGGGCCTGCAGGGAAGGTGGATAAACAATTGGCATGTCGTTGGTGGTATTGATGCTGATGGTAGCAACATTAGTTCCCGCGCTGGATCCCATGTAAGGAATCCCATCCTGAAAGACAAAAGCAATTATTAGTATGCAGTATCACAGCTAGGAACTGCATTTTATAGCATCTTCTATTAACCTCAGGCTCAGCAATCAGACCAGACTTTGTCATTCCAGCTCACGTCACTGCTAATTTTACAGGTGAAAAGCAGAACAAGAATTCAGGTTCTGAGATGGGAAACGGTTTGTATATGTTATGGTTGTCAGAGGAACTAGCTGTTGAATGTCCTGTACTCACATAGTACTATGTACGATGCTGTGCATAGAAGGATTCCACACAAACATGAAAGTATATGGATAATGCTGAACAATTTCTAAAAACAAGCTATCTTGAGAGAGTTAGTGCTAATATAACTAGTTACCTAGACTTCACTGGGACTCTAACAACAACTCTTCTGCCCACAAGCATTGAATTTCTGTACATTAAGACAGCCTAGCTAACCTTTTTTCTCGGCAGCTAGCCTTTTCAAACATACTGTGCTTGTATAAGTCTACCTCAAGTCACTTTCAGTTCCACATTGCTAGGGGAACACCTTGCTTCTGTTCTCCTCCATTGATGGCATATCTTTGTTGTGTTTTATGACATTCATCTGCCAGAATGGGGCTGCTGACCAGAAGGGCTCAATGGCAATTATACCTCTTAATTCCAGGTCAAGGATGTACCCAAGGTAATGACACCATTTTCAACATTGACAGGACATTGTCTAAGAGGCAAGTACAGATCCAAGTCTATCATCAGTTTATTAGCAGACAACCTGCAACTTGTCCACTTGTTAACAGATATAGATGTGTTCATCTCAAGTGAAAAAATGGGTTTCTGGACATATAAATCCTGCACTGCTCTTCATTGGTATTTTAAGTTGAGGGGCAGTGTTGTGCATCCCAAGGTCTTGCAGTCCCACATCTGGGAAACTGCCCTAGAAAGACAGACTTCTGACATAAGTCTTTTCAGGCTTCAATGACTAATGACAGCCTTATTTAGCCATAGATTTCAGTTCACCAGGTCACAATAGATGGCTTAATATTTGAAGTATATTAGAAACAAAGATGTAGAAACAACTTGGATTTGTATGAACAAAAGCTTATGCATGACATCCTGCCATTCAGACTTGGCTTGAGTCCTGTAGTTTTTACCTCAAGAACTCTCTTCCTGATTTCTTGTATCAGACTGTTGTCGTAGAGAGCTTTCAGGAGACGGAATGTGTTCCCACCTCCTGCAGAAAGAGAGTCCAGCTTATTTAACATGTTTTCACTACCAGTAATAATTGAAGCCTTTACAAACTTGCCAGGCTCAGTGATTTCTATGCTCTATTCAGGGCAGTATCCTGCTTTGAGCAGCAGTAAAACCAGAAGCTTCAGAAGAATGGTCATTGGGCAGGCCATGGGCTCATACCCTGAGCCTTCCTTGTAACACTGATGCTGGCTGTTTAACAGCAGACACTGTTCTAATACCCAGGAGTACAGTATCAGGAATATGCTCAGTTTGAGCACAGTAGCCCTGAATCTTTTTAGACTTGATAAAGCGATGATATAGCTGTGACGATCACGTTTTTGACACTGAAGTTGAAACGAAAAATTTGAAACTTACTGGAGATGAAGTTCCATTAATGAATCTCTCCTACTTCCCTACATTTAAGGTCTTACTGTTCCCAAATAAAGTACTGTTTTCTGTAGTTCCTAATAATTACTAGGCCCAACTTTATCACTGTTGTGTCTACAGTGTCAGTGCTGGGCAGGACTAATCCAGTGCCCTGTATAAACCCTCACAGAGAGCAAGAAGTAAAACTTACCAATAAATATTGCTTCAGATTTCCTTACAGCCTCCACTGGATCACAAGATTCATGAATGCTGTCCAGTTCGTAACCTTAAAGGAAAAAGTATTTACCTTGGCCACCTCAGTTTGGTGGAAGAATGTGGTATGTTCAACCCCTGCCTGCCCCCTGCCCTGACCCCAAGCCAGATGCCTCGCAGACAACCAGGGAAATTTCAGGGAAAACTACAACATAGAACAGAGTATATGTCCTACATTAGTGCAGGGCTTTTGCATCCAGCTGTACAAAAGGAAATGTTTGCTTTATGGATGTACATGCTTAGTGTCTAAGAGCAGAGCATCTCACTCAGCAGGTGTAGGCTGAGGCACAAAGTCCTGCTGAGCATTACTGGCTAACCAGAAAGTGTCACGAAAAAGCTGTCAGTCTTCAACTTGGCTGTGAGCCTGAAGAGGATGTGCCAGCATTGGTCTAGCATTACTAGTGCAAATTTCCGATCTGAGTACTTTTTCTGTAATGGTTAAAATGTCTGGCTTTGATAGATGCGCCTTGTTCCTGCTCATCCTGGTGGGCGCCGTGCTCTACCTCTACCCGGTAATGCCGCCGGCGGCGGGGGGGCAGGGGGCGAGCGGCCCGGGCGGGCACGAAACCCCGCCCAAGCCCGGGGACGTGGGAAGGGGCCGGGGCCGCCCGTGTTCTCCGTGCTGGGCCAGTCCCGCCTCGAAAGGCTTTATGTGCTCACCTGGCAGTTGCGCCCGCATGCAGAGCGCCGGGGCAACATCCGGGCGTAAGATGGGCATTGCAGACCTGACCCTTTAAATCTTCACGCAGGGACCGTTCATCTAACGAGATGAATAATCCTGCCTTAGCCCGCGGTGGCGGGCACACACAGCTCAGTGGCTTCAGAAGCCTTAGCAGGTTTGGGGCCTGAAGATGTGGCTTATCCAGCTTTTGTTTAACGTTTGTAAGTAGTGTGGCGGTATTGATGTGGAAAATCCAGCTCTCCTGCTGGAAAGCTGTGGGACTTGTATAAAATGTAAAGTTTAAGGAGGTTAATGCGCTCCCTTTTACTCTCTAGGCATCTAGGCAAGCATCAGGTATCCCTGGGCTGGCTCCAACTGATGAAAAGTAAGTGCTTTCCATCTACATATCAGTCAAGTTCAGCTGTGGCAGTGGATGCTGTTCATGACCAAATATCCTCTGTGTCCCTCAGGGATGGCAACCTGCCAGATATCATTGCCAGCAGCAGTTTGCATGAGTTCCTGGTGAATCTTCATGAGAAATATGGCCCACTGGTCTCTTTCTGGTTTGGAAGGCGTCTTGTTGTCAGCCTTGGCTCAATTGATCTCCTGAAGCAACATATTAACCCCAACCGGTTGTGTAAGTGTCCTTTGCTTTGTCTTTGAGTCCATTTGTTCCTTCAGACCTTCCTGGACACTATGTCAAAGGAAGCTGGGGCTTCATTCTAAGTAGAAAGAAGATGAGACTTAGTTTGGAGCTGATGTGGTGGTTTGGGTATGTCTTTGGTCCTGTGTATTAGACTTGAATATCAGCAACCAAGGGTTGCTGCTGTCCCAAAACCGTCAAGAAATTAGTACGGTTGTGTTTTTTACTATCTCTCTACAGGCAAATGATGGTGGAAAGCATCATGCTTGTTAGTCACTTGAAACAGCAGGGCAAAGATCCTATAGCAACTTGACATATATATTAAAAGCAGCTTGAAATACAATTCAAGAGGGGGAACTTTGCTAAATTAAGTCTGAAAAGAACTGCACTAGTTTGTAATAGCTCCCTTGTGTGGTTCAGTGTGGAGGCTTTTAAAGTATTATTTGAAGAAGTTGTTTATTTTTTTGTTTGACATGTACAGTTTTGTGTTGAAAATCTCTAGTGATCTTCTAGACTCAGAAGTGGTCAGTGGTGCTTGTAGCTGAGTTGACCCTCTTAGTCCTGGGAGGATATTTTAATTTATGGTATAAGTCTCTTAAATGGGTGTTTTGCTTCCTAAGGTGATCACAGACAGTAAGTTAACTCAGTTGGTGGTTGGGGTCCAGTTTTCATCTTCTAAATTTGAATGAGGTGCTGGCTGCACACATCTTACCTAATAATGTAGGCACAGGCAGATATATCAGCATCACTTTATGCTGAGGTTGTGATGGGTAAGCTTCTTGTACAGTTGCATGACAGACTCAGAAAAACTGGTGATGATCTGGGAAAGGAGTGGGAGTTAACAAAGATCAGCAAGACACAGTTGATAGCAGTGGCACTCCAGAAGGTGGAAACTCACCCTGAAAGATCTGAATGCACTCAAGTGTGTTTGGGGGAAATTGCGCAGACAGTCACTTTCTCACAACTCAGAGAAGTGGCGACAGGCCCCTGAGTAGGCATGTTCTCAGAAATGTACAGAATTTGGGAGTACCCAAATACCGGAGAAAAACAAATATAGTGCCTGGACTTCAGTGCAGGAAACGTGACCCAGGCAATTACAGACTACTCTGGTGTGCTGCTACACCAAGGGCTAAACAGGGGTTAAATAGGAAATGCATGCCATACTGCTTTGACTTCTAGACAAGGCAAGTGATAGAACTGTCTGTCATGGTTTCAGTTCAGTGTTTGCTTGGACACTGCTTGAGTCATCACTGAAGCTGGAGGTAATGGGATATAAGAAGTGAAAGAGGCAGCAAGGCTGGATTGCATTGGTAAAGCGAAATGCTGAGTTGGGGAGGTGAAATACTCCCACTTAACGTTAGCAGCCTGCCTTGATGGCATCATGCTGGGACCTCTTGTCAACACGGGGAAGCAGAGTGTCAGAGCAAGAAGGTGGGCACCCCTGAGGTCTGGGGTGGCAGCAGTAGCAAGGGGAGTAGCAAGAGCAGGCTGTATTAGTTGCCTGCAGGATGACATGGCCATGGAAAAAAAGACGAAGGTGTATTGAGTCATGTAGTTTCTGTAGAGAGAGGAAAGCATCTAGGCTATTGCACAAGATGAACATGAGCCAGACCTGGAATCCTGTGTACGGCTCTGAGCTCTGTACTCAGGCATGATTTTGAATAAAACAAGTCCAAAGAAAGGCTGTTAGTACTCTCAGAGGAATGCAGAGCCTGTTGTGCAGGAGGAGCTAGGTAAAGTGTGTTCAGCCCAGCAGAAGGAAGATCTTATGGGGGGGATTCTCATAAAGGCAGCAGCAGCAGGCTTAAGAAGGAGTGTTCTAATGATCTGTGCTGAACTCAGACCTGAAAAAGCAGGGATGTTGGTTGTATCAGTGCTTTCCTTTTAGCACTAATGCTTGTCAGAAGTGCTCAAACTTTATTGGAGGTGAGGAATCTTACTGATTGCTTTTCTGGGAGCTTTGAGGTATAAACAACACATAATAGCTGAGTAGCTGTATCAAAACAGTTCCTGTACCATTTCCTGGTGGGTGGGAATAGGTGTCATGGTAGCTCTCAGCCACCAACTGGCTCTGTACAGCTTGTTTTGTTGGAGACCTGGCCTTGCCTGTATCTCTTCTGTACACACAGTGCTGGGGGCAGGACACAGCCCACTGTGGACTGGCTTCCAACTCCTGACTTTCCAGCCCCACCTGAAAACCCTTGCCATGTGACTTCTCCTCAGTCTGCTGGGGTACCTGAGGCCAGAGCTGCTCTTCATAGATGTCTGCTTGTTGGTTTCTGAGTTTGAGGTGTAGGGTTTGACTCCAAGTAGAATAGAAGGGCTCCTCTTGTCTTTTGTGTGTCACAGGTATGGACAAACTTCTTGGAGAGAGAGAGAGACAGGTGCTGATAATGCATATCTCATGAAAGCCTTGAAGTTGGACTAATTTCATTCATGCTTATTAACAGGTTCCCAATGCCAGGAGATGTTTTTTCTCATGTTTAAAGCAGTACTTGAAGTTGGTACATTTTCATGGCTTCTTAAAGCTTGTTTGAGAGAAATTCTCAAGGAGAATTCCAAGGAAGTAAAACTTTACTGCTGACAGTGGCGATTCCTGTGAGAGGCTTTGGGGAAGCAGTCCAGTCATGAGAAAGGTGTGGATGTGAAGAAGGTGAACTAGTTCAGGATTGACAGGATGAGTGTGTTCAGAGACCTACTTGGAGATCTCTCATGAGTTGATGTCACCTTTTGGACTGGGACAATGAACCTGAAGCACACTGAATGTTGGAGATGGAGCTATGGGTCCTGGCCTGTTTGAGCAGGGCAGCTTCATTGCTATTCTTTGTGCAGCTTCAGAGGTCCTTTCCATCTCTGATGTTCAGTGCTACTTGGCATTTGTTTCGACTCTCTAGTTACCTTTTCTCCATACTTACTTAGAATGGTGTCCAGGACAGCATTTTGAGGTTTTTGTGATGAGGGAGAAGATTTCATTGTAAGTGGAAAGAACAGTCAAAATTTTTATATGCTTCACTAAGAGGACTGAAAATATAACCCTAGAGATGTTTTCAAGACAAGGACAAAGGGAGAAGACCATGGAAGTGCTGGCAGGACAGAGCTGTGTCTCCCAAGAGGCAGTTTGTGCCAGTGAAGTCACTAGCCTCCCACAGCTGTAGAAAAATAGTGGTTTCCCAAATACTGCGAGGCAGGGCCAGCCCTCAGCAAAGGGCAGCCTGGGCTCTGCTGTCCTGAGTTCACAACGGTGAGTATATCAGTGGCACAGGACTGCTAGCTGCACTAGGGACAGGAGAGAAAAAAATGGAGCCCATGGCTGATCCAGCAGTTTTCTTTCATGTACGCCAGGAGAACTTTGCAGTTTCTGCAAGTGATGGCGCTAACTGTCCTCCGGCCTCTCCAAATGCCTCTGCTTGCCAGATTTGCTGTGTGGGCTTTACCACCAGCCATATGTCTTTCTGGCTACCCCAATACTGTGCCTAGCTCTGCCAGGACCAGTCAGCAGGGAATCGTGGCTTGCAGCAGCAGCAGCCACTCCATGGCAAAGTACCCTGGAGGAGGAATTGTCAGCAACAGCTAGAATCGCATAACAGCCTGCTCCACGTGGAGAGTCGCAGGTACCATCTGCTGTGCCAAAAGACACATGCACGTACTCCTCGTCATTCAAAGTGGGAAAGAGGATGAGATGCAGATCTTAAACATTGGAAGGGAAATGATGTGATGAGAGAAAAGCATTTAGGAAAGTTTACCATATTTGTACCTCTGGCCTCATTAGCTCCTTTTGTGTCATTAGGTAGTAAGTCCCCTGCAGGTGTGAGCTGTCTCTTGTATGTTTGTCCAGTAGCATAATGAGGCCCTGATCTCTGCTGGGAATCCTAGATACATCCACAGTCATGTGTCTAGCCCAGCCGTTTCACTCTCCATCTGAGAGAAGTAACAGACTGTGATAAACAGGGAAAATATCCCTCTTGAAAAAATCCCTGATTGCTGCTTCCAAATAGTTCCTTAAAGATTCTGCCAGTTCTACGAGACCCACAGAAAAGTTTACAGAAAGGGAAAAGCATATGCTATGCTTTATTGCACAGTTTTGCATTGACACCTAATATACTTCAGCAAATTTATAAATAGAGGCCCCTGGTGGTGAAATTCAGATTTAAAATTCTAAATGAGTGAGTCATGCATATGGAGATGGAAGGTACGTGTTTTTGTCTAGTTTGTACGCTGTTGCAGGTGTCTGTGTGAAAGGAGGATGGAAAGTAAGGCTATTAGAAGCAGAAAGCATTCTGTAGCTTAGTGGGGTACTGTCTTCTGTAAGAGCTTCTCTGCTGGAGACAGCCCTGACTGAGACAGGTAGGTGTTAGTTTGGGAAGTGCTCATCAGCAGGGAACTCAGTGCATGCAAGAGAAATCACTCAGGAGCAGTAGGGTGTCAAATGAGATTTGCTGGGGCTGTGAAGCAAGGTAAGAGTGCAGAAGGCAACCTTTGGCTAAGTCTGTCATTTGAGCTGATGTGTCTTGAATACATAGCCATGGTCAGGGCAGGAGGGTGCACCAGATGTCAAGGAGGAATGTGCTAGAGGTGCTGCAGATCAGGCTGGAGGAGAAGGGGAAGGGGCGTGCCTTACTGTTGTCACCAAGTCAATGGCACAACCAGCCGCCAACTGGGAAGCTGGGAAAAAGCTTCCAAGGCGTTATTACTAAAGAGTTACTTAGCAGAGCCAGCAGGCAACTTGAGGGGAAGCTGATCACAGGATGGTACACTGCCACAGAGATGAGACCTTATGAGGTCCCAGCCTGCACTGAGCAGGAGAAGCTTGACACCCCAAAGACACTGTTCCGGGGGAAGGAGCCATGGCTTACTCACTGCCCAGAAGTAGCAGCACCTGATTAAAGAGGTTGCCATTTTCAGCATCTCTGGTGATGTTATTGCTTGACTTTTGAATGGTGTTTCCTGTATTTGCTTTCAGTGGATCCCTTTGAGACAATGTTGAAGTCCCTCTTGAGGTACCAGTCCGGCCTGAATAGGGATACGGGAGAGAGCCACATGAGGAGAAAGCTGTATGAAAATGGTGTGACCAAGTCCTTGCAAAGTAACTTCGCTCTCATCCAGAAGGTGTGTAACTGCCCTTGTACAGCAGAGAAGCCCTGTGTGACTCACAAAGTTTAGTAAGAATGATCACTAGTGTAAAGGAGCTGCTTTCAGATTAGTGCTGGAACTATAAGCATCTGAGACAGCAAACAGCCTTTGCCCATTCAAGCAGTGTGAATGTTTGGTTTCTCTTGGCTCTGGTCGGTTAGCGAGAAGGGCTGAGCTTGGTGAGTTTTTATGCCAAGATGCCAGATGCAGTCAAAGATACTGAAGCATCTGGATTCTAGATTTATTTCCCAGGACAGGAGGAAGGAGCAAGGAACCAGCTACTGAAACCACGAACAGGTGAAGAACTGTTAACTCAGTCCAGCAGCCAGAATATGATCTGTTTTCCCAGTCTGGAGCTACTAGTATTAAAGGTTTAAAGGTTTCTTTTGTGACAGAGGGAACAAGAGAGGGTTGCCTTGTTGGAGGAAAACCTTGGGAAGAGGCAGAAGATTTGAGGCTAAAATGTTACTGTTTATGTTAACAGTGGAAGGAAACCCTGGGAAGGGTGTAGCTTCATGCTATAGCCAGGAGAGTGTGGTCTGTCTTAGGAACTGGGTGGGAATGTCTCCAGGGTATGTTTGGTAAATAGGCTGCTGATATTACTGCCAACTAATGGTTCCTTCCCTCTCAAGCTGTCAGAAGAGCTGCTAGCCAAATGGCTCTCCCTCCCTGAGGCACAACATGTGCCACTCTGCCAGCACATGCTGGGCTTTGCCATGAAGTCTGTCACGCAGACAGCTATGGGAAGCAGCTTTGAAGATGACCGGGAAGTCATCCGATTCCGCAGGCACCATGATGCAGTAAGTGTCATGAAGAGTCAGGAAATCTCCTATTATTTTTTTCCATGCCAACAGCACGCAGCTTGTGTCTGTGTGCAGTTTAGTACAAGGTACTGCTGAGACTTTAACATTTAAGCTAACATTAAGTTTAAAAGCTTGAGGGCTCTGCGTCAATTGTCCCAAGCTGAAACTATCAGAAAGATCCTATTGCTGATCTTGCTGTCATTAGTCTAAGGTGTTTCTAAAGGATCTGTGGGGATCAGGAACCCAGATCCAATGGCAGTTGAGAGGTGTTTGGTACCTGATTCAGTTAAACTCTTCTGGGAATGCCAGTGGAGTTTACCCTTTTCTAAGATCTGAATGCTCTGTGACATTGTGAATAAAGGAAAATCTGAGGATGTCCCAAGCTGTGTCCACATCTGGGCATGTTAAATCTGCTGGCAATAGGGTAGGAAAGGAACAGTTCCATCTCCCATTCAAGATTCCCATGCCTTTTCCCCTGCAGTTGTAATTACAGTAGTTTTGTTTCAACTTAATTTCAGCTATCATAGATGTAATATCTGGAATGGGACATGGTGTCCTAAAGAGGAGACTAGTTCCATATTTACAGGAAGTCTCCATTTTATTTGGTTTTTCATTTTCCTGAAGAGGGAAGAATGGAGGAATCTGAGTAGTCTCAGCCTGTGGTGAGTGATGGTGCTCTTCTTTCTGTCCTTCTTTCAGATCTGGTCGGAGATTGGGAAAGGTTTCTTGGATGGGTCACTTGACAAAAACATGACTAGGAAGAAGCTCTACGAAGATGGTAGGTTTCTCCCAAAATCACAGTCTTCCTCCCTTTCTGCTTAATACTTAAGGTTAGCTAGTGTATGGAAGCACTTTTTTTGCCCATCTGTCTTGGCTTTTCTGCAGAGTTGGTCCTCATGCCATACACTACCAGATGTGTCCTCCTTACTCTCACATAAGAGTTGTTTAGGTGAGATGCTAGGGGATATGGTGTAGGCGAAAACTTTGTAGAGTAGGACTTGTGGTTGGACTCTGATCCCAAGGGTCTTTTCCAACCTGAATGATTCTGTGATAAGATCATTGCTTTTGAGTTCAGTGACAAGCCTGCCATTGCACAAGAAGTTTGTAGGACTAGAACTCTAGTTTCAGGTCTACTTCTAGGGTCTGTCCAGTCTGGAAACTGGTAAGAGGATCCTGAGAAGAATTGGGGTGTGCTTGTTCCTTTCCTGTTCTGTTCCCTAGCATCCACTTTTGAGCTCTCTTGGGGTCAGGCAACTGTGCTAGATGGAGACAGATGGAGCCACTTGGTTTGGCCTGTACAGCCATTCTTATGATGCACCATTTGTTGAATGCCCAGTCAGACAGTCACTGACAGGCTAGAAGACACAAGTACAGAGGTGCTGCTTTGATGGACACCTTCCACATGATAGCCTCTGATGTGCTATTACAAGGTAACATGATTTTCAGGTCTGATATGGCAGTGTGTTTATTTCTCAGATTTCACAGTAAGATACTTTATTTTTTGGTTGTCCTGTCTTTTTTGTTGTTAATAGTCAAACCTTTTCAGTACTGATTGATAAGATGCTAAACAAAACTAGTTTGTCTCTAGAACTAAGGATTTGCTTGTTAATCCTCCAAACCCAGTGTTTCTTTCTTTATGTTGCTGGTTCTGTGGGCTTCAGAATCTGAGGTCAACTACTGCCCTATTAAAATGGGCTTCTCAATGGGCACTTGTTCAGGACTGTTCCTGAGTTGTAGTGGGATGATGCATTAGGACACAATTTCACAAACTCCAGATAGTGAGGCTTGCCATCCTATGCAGAGAGGAGGGAGGAAGGGTAGTTTTAAGATGAAGGGGCTGAACTGGGCCTTGTTAAATCAAGTTTCAGATCCAACTTCTGCACCATGTTTCCTGGATAGTCTTGAGTAGGTCATTTAAATAAGACAGCCAATGGCATCTAGGTCTCTAACTCCCCCCAGTTCCCACAGTAGTCACCAGGAATTAGGCACACGAATACCTTCATATGTGTGGATCCTTTGTGCCAAGACCCTCCCATGTTTTCTGCACTGTCCTCTCTGTCTGTGCAGACTCGTCAGCACAGAGCCAGAGCCATCCTCTTGCACCATGCTTGTAGAACCCCTGGCAAAAAGGACACCGTCAGCAGCTGGAGATGCTGTAACACTAGTAATTATAACTCTGCAGGCCATGCAACTAATGTTATCTGGCTCTAACATTTTTTTATGGGGACTGATTAAACACATTCTCTGATGGTTCAACACTAACTGTTATTTGACTTACCCTTATGTGTTTTCAGCTCATAGAGTACATCTCAGTTATACCTGTAAGGATGGCTTTTTTTATAGGCAACCTGTTTTATTTGGTTCCTACATTTTCAACTAAATTGGAGATACCGCATTCCAAATTGACAGTAAAATATAACAGAGGCTGCTTCTGTAAGTGAGCCCAGCAGGGACAGCTGCTCTGAAAATCTGCTTGGGAAGATGGATTTGCTTCTCTGCAGCACTCAGGATGACCAGATTTTAAAATAAACATTTCTTTTTTGCTTCCAAAGCTCTGATGGAGATGGAATCCACCTTAAGGAAAGTTACAAAGGAGCGCCGAGGCAGATCATTCAACAGGCACATCTTTATAGACACCTTGCTGCAGGGGAGCCTGAGTGACCAGCAGGTCTGTGCAGCTGTTCATGTCCTCACAGTTAATGGAGTTTTGCTAGATGGGCAGCTCGTAACATTGTAGCCTTTGATTAATTAAAGTGTTTGCATCTTAGGTCAGATTCCATACTAAAGAAGGGTTTCGCATTCTTTTTTCCACTCCTACAATGCTTAATTGCATTAGACTTTGGTAGCTTTCCTTGTCACTGCTTCATTGCTATTTTTACAAATGAGAAGTATCTTAGTATTAAGCATGTCTCCAGAAGTATCTTAGTATAAAGCATGTCTCATGTGCCATTCCAGCGGAATTTCTGTAGAGTTCAGTCTGTGCCTTCTAGATGTATTTCCTGCTCCCTGCACTAAAGGGATTTCATGCGCTTGAGTGGAGAATGTGCCACTTCTTTTTTATCTTTACAGTCTTATGAACTTCATTCTCTGAAGTAGATTTTATTTTGTAGATTCTGGAAGATACAATGATTTTCTCCTTGGCAGGCTGCATAATCACGGCTAACTGTAAGTACAGATTGTAAGTAACTTTCCATCCTTACACTCAACTGTCTAAAACTGTGTGTGATGACATGAGACTTATTCTAGGTTAATAAAAAATTATATTCATCATTCTCTTTCTCCTGAGCTACAGAGGTATAGAAGAAACTAATTTTTACATCACTCTCGACACAGCCTCACCAGTGAGTTGAAACTGTGTTTGACAACCTTCCCAGTCCTTTGGTGAACTTGAAGATTTCTTCTCATTGCTTTTTGCTTGCACTCTAACCCCAGGAACTGATGCTAAATTTGATGAAAAAGCACCAAAAGATGCAAGCCACAAAGATCATGTTGTAAAATAGGTTCTGCCACATGGGAAGGAAATTAGAGCAGAGTCCTGGAATCTGACTGTCTGCTTTGAACTTCTGAAGGATAGGCGTGTTCCATGTAGACTTTAAAAGGAGCGACTCTGGGATTTATGCAAAGATTATGGAAAAAAAAAACAACAAAAAAACCCCAACGCAAAATACAAACTGGAGCTGTATAAAATCTCTTATGATAGGGGGATGATTATCAGGCCCTGTGTCTCAGCCAGTGGGGCTGGGACTCCAAAGAAAACGTCCAAGGTGCAGCTTGTTGTTAAAGAATACGGAAAGTAAATTTGGCAACTATGATAATACTCTCCCCAGAGAATATCCTCTCCAAGTACTCCAGGAAGACTGTCATTTTAAGAGGCTGGACTCCTCAGGGATTCCAGATAGTTCTCCTGAATAGACAGTTTGGAGTGGTAGAAACATTTCCTTGTAGCTTTAGGGAAACTGCGCCCTACACACATTTCTTATGCAAGGTTTCTTTTTCACTCTGCTATTGAAGATATCTCTTGACTACTTCACAAAATAGATGTTGGGGAGACAGGTGATGGCCAACCTACTGCAGGGAGCTGTACTGTTCTTGTTGCTCCCTGTCAGGAGCCCCAGAAATTGTCTGTCTGGAGCACTCACCTGAGATGTGCTGGGGAAGCCCTCAAAATAAGGGAATTTTCTGATGCTCTGGACAAACCAGCCTTTCATTTGCATTGTTGGTCTAGTAACCCTGGTTCCTTAGGGTCTGCTGTGCTGTGTGGTCCCCTCCCCAGAGCTGGGAGGCTGAATAGCTCAGTCTCCTGCATAGTTCCCGAAGCTCTTCATAGCACTGGAAAGAGAATTTTAGCTTGCAGGGTCTCTTGTTACACTGGAATTCAGTCTCTACTCCTGCCACTGAATACAGAATCAGTACAGCCTGTGGTGAACAGAAGTCACCCTTCTCTGAGTGAAAAAGTAATGTTGCAAATACAGGAAGTATGAAAACAATGCAGTTTGTAAAAGATTGAATTTTCTGGGTCCAGTCTTGTCTTGATTTCTTCCTCAGTGTGTACCTGGGCAGTCTATTTCCTAGCAACCTCAGAAGATGTTCAACAGAACCTCTACAAGGAGATGGACTGCGTTCTGGGGAAGGGACCAATTACACATGAGAAAATTGAGCAGCTCAGGTGGGTCAGGGTTGTCTCATGTGGTGGGGACAGGGGCTTCATGTGCTGGAGCTTGATGCCCAGCCTACACTGGGCCAGGAGAAGGCACCCAAAAGCTACTCCCTTCTTTTTTCTGGAAGTGATCATACCACAGGATGACTTGTAGCACAAATTGAATCTGCTGACTGGCTCCAGACATGGGAACTATGCTGCTCTCTTCAGGATGTCTTATAGGAAACCCTTTAGGTTCATTGGCAGAGGAGAGCACAGAATCAGTGTCCTGGCTGCCAGGCTAAAATATGTTTACTTACTGTCTTGTTTGGTTTCTGTCCTAGTTTTCCAAAAGTAGAGGTAATCGGTCATTTTAATGGTTGGATTAATGTTAGACATATTTAGAAGGAAAGCATGGAATAATATTTTCAAAGGGTCACAGAACTGGATGATGACTGGTCAACAGTGTCCCTTTCTTTTTTGTGCATCTGTTGGTGCAACTGGATGCATTTTGTATCTGGACTAGTGTTGAGAGTTTCAGTAAGGGAGTATTGAGTATGTAGGTTTCTTGTTGATTCTTGTATGGGTGAGAGGTCTGGGAAGAGGGCTGGTGTGTTTATGCTTTTTTTGCATAGTTAGTTTAGTTTAAAATCTGAAAAAATGGTGGTGAAGAGAGATTTCGGTAACCTTCCCTAAAAGCTATTAATGAGATTTAATGCTTCTTGCAAAGACACTGGGACCACAAAATGAGGTCCCTCAGTGTGGCTTGAGACAGCACCAGGAGCAGACTGCAGCCCTAAATGCAGGAGGTGACTCGGCTCTCCCTGCTGCCACAAGGACATGGACAAGCTTCTTTCTGGGAGGGTTAAACTAACGAAGTCTTACTGGTTGCAGATACTGTCGGCAGGTCCTGTGTGAGACAGTGCGAACAGCAAAGCTGACTCCCATTGCTGCACAGCTGCAGGAACTGGAGGGCAAAGTTGACCAACATACTCTTCCCAAAGAGGTAGGGCAGTACTGGGAGCACTAGGTCACTCTCCTTTCCTGGAGAGAAATTTGCTGTTTCCTTCTCTTCCTGTGGAGAGGTGAGACAGGAAGACCATTTCTTCTGCCAGTGTTGAACCTGAGCAGCTGCTCTGTCATCTGGAATGTACGTTTTAGCTCAAAGTTTGCCCTGCAGTTCCTCTGCAGGAGAGGCTCTGGGAATTCATGTTCTCTTGCTGAGCAACTTTGCTTCCAATTCTGGGTCTACCAGGGATGAATCATCTTTTGAAGGGGCTTATGGGCTCAGTTGTGCATAAAAGAGCATGATTTCAGGCCTGATCATATCACCCACATTTCCCACACAGAGTGGAACCTTCCATTGCAGAGAATAAAATAGCTCAAACATATATACATGCCAGGAAGAGTAGAGGAATGGGATCAGACCCTCTAACTACAGCCACCGCAGCATGGGCCTTAGAAGTTAAAATGCTAACATCTGTGCATGGAGTATGGAAATCTGTAAATGAATACAGCATATTATCTTTTAAATCTATCTAATGAGTAGTCTACAGAATAATAGTTACCCATCAGGGCTGTTCTTTTAGACACACAAGTGTCTAAAGACACAGAAGTGTCTTTAATTGTGCATTTCTTTCTGCTCGTGACGTGTCCTGATTTTCTTTGCAGACACTTGTGCTTTATGCTCTTGGTGTGATGCTGCAGGATAGTTCATCTTGGCCATCACCATACAAGTATGTAGAATCAAGACTTTTATTGCTACTAATTCCTTTCCTTTTTTTAAATTAATATTCTTTAGATCTTACAGCAGAGCTTGTTTAGCTGCAGGGCCTGCCTTAAACATATTTTGGAGATGAAAGGGGGTCTGTAAGAAAATCAGTTTATGATGGTCTTCTCTCTATGGGCAGGATTTTGGGGCAGTTCAAGTCATGATCCTCTCATGCTTCAGTCTGTATGTGTGTGTGTCTATGTGTTAGAGTTTAATAAAAACTTTTTTGCGCACACACACAGCTTCCCTGGCAAATGCTGGTAAATTCTTTTTTCTGTGAGAGAGAAACAGTCATTTGAATGGCTTTGGAGTCACTGCTTGTCATCATGAAACCATGCAAACAATGATGGGAGGAAATATCAGTCAAGTTTTGATTTTTCAGAGGGAGGGGAACTGCTGCCTCATTACTTCTATCAGTGAAAACAAAACGATCCAAGCCAGCATTTGGGAGATTGAAGAAAAAAGTTGCTGTAGCTTCCTGTGGCCTCCAGGTGGCAAATATTAACACGTATCTGACTTACTTCACTTGGGCTGGGAAAAAAATGTGGGTCAGTTATTCTAGACAGAGAGAACAGACAGCTGAGATTTAGGAGAAAGAATAGAGCCTTTAGAACAGCACTTGTTCTCTCTGTAAGTGTAGTTCTTGCAGAAGGGTGAGGCATGGTTGCACCAACCTATGAGCATCTTGGCAGGGATTGCCCACTAGGATAGGAAGGGTTAGCTGAGGCCTTGTGGGAGGGACCCTGAGGACTGCTATGAACACAGTGTGTTTATTCCAAGGAGAAGAAGGTTGAAGTTTAGCCTGAGGTAGATGTGTATTTCCATGATGGAGACAGGGGATCAGTTTTGTTATCCTTTCACTTACTGCATAAAAACACTGTGGGGTGGCTGTTTGCCCTCCTTACTTTTTTTGCTAGGCAGCTGCATTTTCTTTCCTACTACAACATCTGTAATTTGCCACTTCAGTTCAGGGGGAATGTACGTTTGCTGCTGCTTTTACTAAGGGTCAGCACCCACCTGCCCTTTCACCGTGGTAGAAGCAGAGCTTGGATATTTAGGCAGGGAGCCAAAGGCTTGAAGTATAAGCAGAAAGTGAAGGAAAAATGCCTTCCATCCATCAAATTTCCTGGTTTTTTGTTTGTTTTTTTTTAAAAATATATATATACATATATATATATTTAAATTGAATTATATTTTATTAATCTCCCTATGGTTAGTTGATTATGGGAATCTTGTTTTAACTCATGCCAGCCCTGGATAATAATTTTTTCCCAGCCTCCACCATCCTAATGCTGGAAACCACTTTTCTCACTTGAATGAGTCACCAGCTTCCCTCCCCCAGCACACAGACATACACACACCAGCTGCTTGAAGAGAAGAATGAGGGGCAAGGAGGAAAGGGAAATATTTTTGGAAGTGGAGAGAGGAAGGGTCATGGGGTGGAGGGGGGACACAACAGACAACACACACACACACACACACAAATCAGATTGTGTGTGCCCTGAAGGGGAATAGAGGGCAGGTAGCAGCATCAGCTCAGCTGTGTACTCAAGCTAAATACCCACTGCTGAGAGGTAATGCATATTAATTCCAGCCCTATGTCACACTAATTCAGTTTATCAGCATTTTGACCAAGCTGGGACACAGCTGACCATCTGGGAACATAGATGGAGTGGATGCACAGTTGCCTTTGTAAATCTGTGTGGAATTACGCAGCCTGATTTAGAGAGAGCAAATTAGTGAGATTCTGTATTTCACTGTCAGCTTCTTACTTATGTGTATGTGCGCATGTGTCCAGGGAAAGGATCCTGTGCCTGCACAGAAAGGCTCAGTGTATTTGTCTTTCATAGGTTTGACCCAGAGAGATTCAATGAGGAATCAGCCATGAAAAACCTCTCCTTGTTGGGTTTCTCAGGAAGTCAGGAGTGCCCAGAGTTGAGGTGAGCATAGGGAAGGTGGTCTTTGTGTGTATCTGTGGCAAACAGCAGAGAAGGTGCTTTCAGTCTCTTCCTGTTGCTGCTGAGACAAGATGTCCAAGCTGGCAGTTGTCCTTTGGCAGATTTACATCATAGCAACATTTTTATTCTTTTCTCCTGCCTCTTCCCTCAGGTTTGCCTATATGGTGGCTACAGTTCTGCTGAGTGTCCTAGTAAGGAAACTGTATCTCCACCCAGTGAAAGGACAAGTCATGGAGACCAAATATGAGCTGGTAACCTCACCAAAGGAGGAAGCCTGGATAACAGTGTCTAAGAGAAGCTAAGAGCAAGCAAAACAAGGGGCTAAAAGTGCCGGCAGTGCAGTTCTGAGCAAGAGTCTTAGGGAATCATGCTGGCACCACACTGACTCAGCCAAGGAATTTTGCATCCACATTTCATTACTTTCCACATTCTTAACCACATACCTCTCTTGGGTACATTTTCTAACTCAACCAATAGTCATATTAAAGTAGATTTAATCTGTATGCCTTGTTTACATTTGCTTTTGGATCTCTGGCCAAACCATTGCAAAGGAAGCAACAATACCTTGCAGTGGTGTACGTATGAACTTATTGGGTGTCAGCTAGTCAAAGACCAGACCTCTGGTTAATCCAGCTCCTTTCCAACAGCAGACAGAGCTGGATAAGAGTGCCTCTCTTATCCAGTGGAATGCTTCTTCACAGATCCTAGCTAGGTAAGACCTTGGAGACACAAGGACAAAGCCTTTCTCTGTATATAGGTATTTTTATTCAGAGTGTCTTTCCTTCCCTTGAGCTACAGCTATAACTGTCAGGAAGAGCAGATAAATGTTGTAAGAAGTGTGTGTGAGAAAGAGAGAAATAAAGTGGGGCAGGAGTTGCACCACTGGTTCTCTTGCTGGGTAATGTTGCCACGCTTGGGGGGTTGCAAGAGAAAGGGTGACTAAGAAATCCTAGTAAATCAAGAGGAATAAGATTGGTTTGGCCCCTGAGAAAACAGAAGCATCAGTAATAATATAATGAAATAAAATAAAATCACAGAAGAAAGCCCTGAGAAAGGGATTCTCTATCCTGACAGTTTTAAGGGCAGCATCTAATCTAATCAGCAACAGAAATTAACAGATGCTTGCCGTTCATTCAGCACTGGGTTGGCATGAGACTGGTTGTGCAAATACAGGAAAGGGAGAGTGCTGATTTTATAGAGCTCTGGATTAATGTTGTACTTAATAACTTCAAAGCCTTTCAAAGAATCCTTTTCCTCCTCCAAAATGGGTGCCAGCCAAGGCAGCATCACATGCCACATATTCACACGCTTTTCCCTGGTTTCTTTCCTTTTGGCCATCATAGGTCAGCTCCTGAAAGATTTTTCAGTGCCCCGCTGAACAGTTTGCAAGGCAGGAACCTCTTACCCCATCATCTCATTGGAATAATTGCCATCTGACTTCTCAGGTTGTGTTTCTCCCCCCGCAACTTTTTTTCCCCCATCTTGCATAGGATCACCCTTTACCTGATCTTTATAAGTCTTTTCCCCGTAAGACTGACTTCTCAGTTAGCTCCAGTTCCTAGCCCGCTTCCCACCCCAAAGGTGTGTGGTGGTAGGTGAGGTGTTGCTCAGCCTGCAGCTGCGTATGCCCAAGCTGCTTTTATGCATAGATACCGATGCACCACAGAGCAGGCCAGGGGTGTGGCTCCCATTAGAGCTACTTTCTATTGCATCTGCAGATAGGGCACACATACCTGGTAGCTGCAATTCCCATTTCTGCTGACGTTCCTTTCACTGGCACCTTCCAGGTCAGGAAATTTGCTGCTCTTCTAAAAATGTTTAGGCTCTTGTATTGCTGCCGAGTGCCAGCCTGAATGCAGTCCTGTCAGCTCTTACAGGGTTAACATCTGATGCCAACCTCTGGGCACCAGACAAAGAAAATTCTGCTCTTGGGTTTAATGTGTCAGCTCTGCTTTTGGTGGAGCTGTAGAGATTCTGATCCCCCCCAGTGCATTTCATGTTGGGGGAGAGGTGAGACAGAGATGCTGTTCTACTGATTTTTTGCCTGCTGGGCAGAAAAAGGAGGGTTGTGCAGTTCATCTTGCTGCCTCTCTTGCATTGATTTTTATAATGAACTGCAAGAAAGCTCTTGATAATCTGACCTCCATTTAACTGAAGGTCGGTCATGTCCCCAGATGGCAATTCAAGTTAGGCTTTGCTTCACTGCTTATACAAAAAGGCTTGTTTTTCCTGGAGGTTGCAGATGTTTCCTAAACCTGGAGAAATCACTGTGATAAAGGATTTTACTTTAAAGCATCCCTGGTGTGTGGAGGAGGCAAAATGGAGGCTAAGTTATTGCCTTCTTGGGAAAAAATGGTAGGATAGCACTGTCCCTGCTAGGAGCCAGAAAAGGAGTAGATGACTGTCATTTAATTGAGTGGTGAAGATCTGCTTTCTTGTAGCCATGTTGTAGGAGTGAAGCTTTCAGACACCAGAAAAACTTCCCAAGTATAATTGTCCAGACTTCTGTTACAATATTTCTGTGCCTTGCTGGAGCTGTATGGGCCAACTGCCTTGCAACAGCCGTTCCCCAGTTACAGGAATCAAAAATGGGAGTAATTCCATATAATTTGTTATGAATTTTCTGTCAGCTTTTACAGGTATCACATCCTGTAAGACTGTGCTCTCAGTCCAGGCCAGTAACCAAGCATGCTACAGGAGTCCATGGCTGATATGAGAGAAGAATGTGGCCCGAAGTGCTGGAAAAAGCCAATGATTAGTTTGTGTTTGCTCAAAACTGCTGTCAGAAAAACACCCTGACTCATCACTTAAGGAAATGTGTCGAGCATGGAGGGCAAGGAGGTGGGTAAGGCACACTCAAGCATTTGTTATGCATTGCACGGAGTGACACTGAGGTCAGAGCCACATTGTTTGCTGAAGTCTGTAAGTTTCCGTGCCTCACTCTATGTGTGTCAGTCATTTTAGATAGCCTAACTATGAAGATTTAATGCAACACTCACCAGCCGAGATGTGGATTCCTTTGTGCATCAACCCCCCTTTTCTGTATGGGAATGTTCATGGATCAGAGCTTTCTCATGAAGTTTAAATCTATTTTGATTGGAAGCTTGAAATACCAGTTTTGTCCCATTTCTTGCTTCACCCCTTGTCCAGCATGCACTGTCAGCTGGTTCTTGTTTGGCCTGGTAACCTAAGGAAGACTTGTGTTTGTAGGGTGTTCCTCCCTCCCCACTTATGTTTGTCCATTTTTCCCTTTCTCTTCTCACAAGAACTTGTTAGCCCTTGGGCAAAATCAGCTGCATTTGACAGGGATCAGGGTTTGAAATCTTAATGCTGTTACGTTCCTACACAGTTTGTGGGGGAAAAAAAAAAAAAATGACTGGGCATACGGAGTCTATGCTAGGCATGTCACAAGATTGCAGCCAAAGCTGAAGCATAGTAAGATGCCAGCCTGGGGAAAAGCCCGAGTCAGCGCCTACACTGTAGCAGATAGCCAACCTCAGGAGTCCAGTCAGTAGAAAACAGGGTATTGTCAGTCCTGCTGCTCAGACCCCCACACTAAGGACATATGCAAGGCCCAGAGATCAGTTCTGGCTGTAACATGGGGATGTGGGCAAGCATTGCAACCTGTGGAAAAAAATGTAGTCTATGAACAAAACCAAGAGGGGGAGGTTGCTTCTATAATCTAGGGAATTTTTGCCTTTTATGCTTCATATTCCTGCTATACACCAAAAAGCTGCTTCACAAATTCCACAGGATGGTTTTGAAAAGCAAACAGAAAAGCTGTCATTTCATTTCTTGGACTCTTACTGTAGAACAAGCTTCTACAGGAGGGCTACAAACTCATGGAAGGTAAGAGGCTAAATATATCTCTGTGCCTATGCAACCTGCTGCTCTCAGAAGCAGGCAGCAGGCAGCCAGCACAGGTGCTGGGAGCAGTCAGGCCATTGCTAATTGATTGTCATGGCTGTTTCTGGCTGACAAAGCCTTGTACTTTTGCTCCTTGTACTGGTGGCAACTGGTGAGACAGTTAACATAACTAAGCAGAACAGACAGCTCATTGAGCTAGCCTTCCACTACCTCCAGAATATCCATGAATGGTGTTGCCTCTAGATTTTAATTAACCTGTGCTGCATATAGAGCCATTATTGCAAATTAGTAATATCCTTCTGTTCCCAGCAGTTGAAGGTCTTGCTGGTAATGGCTGTGGCATGCAGCACAGTGTTGAGGGCTGTATGTTTTATTTTCCATCATTAAATGGAAATGGTGGTATTGGCAACTTCTGTCCTACTTGCTGCAGAAGTAAATGTTTTTTGGGCAGAGTGGATGTTTGCTGATTTAAAATACTTTGGGCAGCTCTCGTGCCAGCTCCCCCATTAGCTGTGCAGTTATGAGAATGTGGGCCGCTGGCAATCCAAACTGGAAAAACAGTATCTCACCTGCATAGTTTGTGAACATTTTGGTACTGCTTAAGTCACAGGTAAGTAGCATTGTCTTCTCACTCTGTCTCAGGTACTGTGCACATGTTTCTTACTGACAGCAGGAGATAATTTGTTGAGTCTCACTCTTCAACAGGGCTATGTATGGCCTTCCCAAGGTTTCTGTTAATGCTACAGAAGGGGCTCCCTGACATTAACCCTTGGATATAGATACATTCTGATCAGCAGAGTGAAGTCTACATTGATTGACTTCATTTTTGTGCTTGGATCCTCTTGTAGCTTTGGGACAAAAGGAATGGGGTAGAGCTGTACTTTAATGAAAGCACTTTGAGCATACAGGACTTCCACCCACTTCCCTACCCCTTTTATCAAGAGTGACAAGGAAGGGGGGAAAAAAGTTTCCAACGAGAAGGAAAATCTTCATCACTTGTGGGTTATGCCACTAGGAAGTGGAACTGTGGCAGCTCTTGCTGCTTTTTTTCCACTGGAATTGCTGGAAAATATTTCAGGAATCTTTCTCTGGAGCCTGAGAGTATGTACCCATCTTGGCATCTCTCTCTAGTTGAGCTCAGGAGTGTTTTTTAGCTATCACTTTTCAACTAAACAAAAGGCCTGTTTGACATCTCTTAGGATTCAATGCCAGGTTTTTGGCAGTAACAGACGGGGAAGAGGAACTACCACATGCAGGAAAAAAAAAGAAAAAATGTTCCTCACATATGGAGGGTGGGGAAGGAGAGAAGATAGGGGTTTCCATGGCAACATTCCTTGAAGATAAGTATTTTTAAATCTGTGTGAATTTTAGCATTCAAAACACAGTTGTGTTTCCCACAAAAAGATTTGGGGGAGGGATGAAGTGGAAAGAAATTTTCCCCCTACTTCTCAGGTCATTCCTATTTTACAGAGAAGCCTGAATCCAAGATAAATGAAGTACGTGTGATTGCTCTAATGTTCCTGCAAAGAAAAGCCTTGCTTCTAGGAGGCAGAAAGCATCAGTCATAGTTCTGTATCTGCACCAACATCTCTGGCACAAGCACTTGATCATCTCTAATGGTAAAAGTAGTTTAAATAGATCAGTGCTAGGCAAGTAAAAAGTCACAAGGACAAATCTTGCATGATTCCACATTAAACTAGTGTAACTTGGAGCAAAAATCTTAATTATAATTGACATATAGATAAGTGATAATAGTGGTGATAAGGTAGCTGAGGCTTTTTGCCTTGGTCAGAGGAGAGGATGGAAAACTGAAAGGGCAGAGAAACCAGGTAAAATGTGTCCCTGGTGAGTGTCTCTGTTACCTTCAATGCCAGCGAAATAGTGCTGAGGGTGAGCAAGTGGTGCTTCAGTCACACTATTAGGCAAGAACTGTTTGATCTTTATATGGAGTATCAGTGCTGGGCCCACCTCTGAACCTCTCTGAAGCTTCCCTGCTCCATTCTCTGCAGTGCTGGGCAGCTCATGGGCACTGGCACGCTCTGCTCCCACCTCCCTGCTGGCATCCAGGCAGGTCAGCTCTGTCACAAGCCTGGCAGTGAGACATCCAATGCTGTGCCTGCTTGGCTGCCAACTTTCTAGTCTCACCAAAGAAGGCTTTTTTTTTTTTTTTTTTTTTTTAACAGTCGCTTCCAACTCAGTAATGACTCAGACACTGCAGCAAGGGTAAAGCGATCATCTTCCCCTTCAGAGCTTTACAGCAGAAGGCCCTGGGTATCCTTGCTAAAAGAGAGCTTGCTGGGCCCAGCCATCAGCTGGATTCAGTTCTTTAATTTAACTGATGGAAAGATGCTCCAGCGGTGCTGTGTACCTCCTGGCTTAGGGACTGTGTTTCAGCAATAGACTCAATGATTCCTACAAGTACTTTCTGTTCAGAAGCCTTGGGGAGGGGAGGCTGGGAGGGAATGAAATGTCATCTATGAAGAAGAAGGTGGTACTCACCTAATACAGCTCTAGCTCTCACCAAACTTCCCAAGGCCATGAATCCAGGAAGGGAACAAAATTGGAACAGTAGAGAAAAGCAGGAAGTCATATTTGGCCATTTATCTTTTGGGATGAAGGAGGGAAAACAAATTAAGGGTGTCTGAAAAAAGCAAAGTTTGTATTCTCAAAGTGGGGAAATCGGCACTTGGTAGCATTGTTTCATATTGGCTGAGACCCTGATACAGAATAAGTGAGGCTCAGATCTAGCAAAGGTGACTTCATTACACTTGCCAACTTCCCTACACCTTCATTGATAGTGCCTACCGGCAGCATAGAAAAAAGCTGCACTTTTCATGTCACTGTTGGATCCTCTATTGGAAGTCAGATATATAATTTTTAATTCTAGGAATGTTCATGCCCTGACATCAGCACTAATGTGAAAATGCATACCCTGGCTTTGTAGTTTCTTGGACTGAAAAGCAACTGACTTGCTCATTCAGGGCTTGTTAGCTGTGATATATATATCATGTTTATTCCATCCCTTCCTGTAAGACCACTGTGGAATTTTGCGCTACAGACTGATGCTCCAGCTCCATGCATTTGCCTGGACGCCGGGAGATGCAGGAACTCTGCAATACCCAAAAACCGGAAATGCAGCGGCTCCAGTCCCTGCTCAGCAACCTTCAGTATCCAGGATGTCACGAGCTGACTCTTACAAGTCAGCCTGGTACAATGATGGGGTTCAGGGCACCATGGGCATTAGACAGCAGTAACTGGATTGCTGCTGTGCAGGGGAGCCTGCATGTTGGTGCCACATGTTGTGACATGTATGGGCGTTCTCACACAGCAATAAGTTCCCACAAATGCAGTTTCCAGGCCAAAGAGCCCTGTCTTCTGGCAGCTTGGCTACCACCTGCAACTGTCCTGCTTGGGGAGAAAGATGTGGTAGCTGAACATGCCCTGGCTTTGTGAGGTGGCTGTCCTGCTTTTGCAAGCTCTTCCAGGAGTCTTGAGCGGGGGAAAGGTGCCTTGGGAGGAGAGGAGTGAGGCCCGTGAGTTAATAGGAGCTGACAGGGATGCCTGCAGGAATACACCATCACATATGATGGGAACCAGCTGGACCAATGGGTGCAGCTGCCCCACATTCACTAGTGAGCAAGATATTTGGGAGCAGAGAGGGTGTTTGAAGCACTTAATCCTTCTGATGTGCAGAATTCATATTAAATTTGCCAGAGCCTGTGCCTTGATTTCATGATTGTTGAATTGTCTTGATTGTTCTGAAAGGAAGGAGCAAATTGATTGCTTGCTAAACAGACTGCTCTAAATTACCCTTAAGTGTGGGCCTGGGCCTGTAAACCTTTGTATGACTGTGACTATTGTGTGACTGCATTGAATACCACTGACTATTCATATATTGGCCTAGCACAGTTGCACTTAAATCTCAAGTGTGGCTTTCAGTCATTAGAAATGAAATTTTTGAAGCTTTTTGGGTGTTTGAACACCCCATAAAGCACCTGCTTGACTATTTAAATGTCTAGATGTCTTTGTAAGTCTAGTATTGGCATAATGCAAAGAGAAAGGAAATGATATAGAGGGTTTGCTGGATCAGGCCTCCAGTTTCATATCCTAGCAGTGATAACTAGGTAAGGCCTGTTGCTGTATATTTGCCGTAGTTCATAGTGATCCTCTTTTGTGCTTGAGGAAGCTTGATGGTGACTTTTACATAGTAAAGGTAAAAATACTGCAAACATACATCCTGCATTAGCCTTTATATATTTTGTAGCTGTATGGTTCCACTGTGGTAAACTAAGCTGAGCAATCACATTTTCTCAATTACTCTCAAGAACTGGAAATCCTTATCACCTCTGTGTTTCTTTCTCCCACTGCTGCAGCACTGGTCTTGAAATTGTCACCACAGCTAAAAATCCTCATTCTGTAAATTAAACTGTGATTTAAAAAAATTTTACAGTGCAGCCTCCTCATAAAACTCCAAGTCTTTTGCTGATGTGACTCACTCAATTACTCATGTGGGCAGACGTTCAGATAATAAAAGTAGTTAATGGAAAGCTGTGAGAAATACTGCTGGTTCCTGAGGAGGCAGGGGAGGGGGAATGCTACTGCGGGTATTTTATCCTAAGAGCTGAATTCACTGAGCTCCCAGCCATTTTTTTAAGATAAGGATTTCTCCATTCTGCTTTTTCCTTTGTATGAAAACAGCTTGAAAACTCAGATTGGCAGTAGAGGAGCAAAAGTACACCAGCTGTATATGTTTGCTCCTTTGCTCTTCTTCCTACATATTAGAGATGATACCAGTGTGTGCCCTGAAATAATCTCTTTATCCTAGCCATGTCTATACTTAAACTGTAGTAGTACTCTAATGACCTCTGGATTCCTGAATCAAGGAGTACAGCTAGCAAGTGGCTAACTAAGCCCTTTGGTTGGAGGTGTCACATATACTGACAAGGACTCTATTTTTCTGGAATGAACAAAAGCCCTTGAGATTTGGTGTGCAATAGATCAGGTAATACATGTAGAAGGCAGATTAAAATGGTATTTCAGTACATGCACATTGGAGGAATATGGCACTTTTTGAAGCTGGTGAAGCAGAAGGGTATTGAAGAATAGTAAGGTATCAGTTCAATGGGAGAGCCCCCTTATGCAATGAAATTATACTTGTATGGAGGCTTCAGAGAGACTTAGAGTTAAGCTGAAACTGGAACTAGTGGAAGTTCTGATTAGAGCTGAGGGCTAGCTGGCATATGCAAAACAACCAGAACAGTTTTAACTCTTGGTTGTGTGGCTCCCTTTAGAGCTAGATTTTTGAGGGATGTGCTACCGCAAGTGGCTGTGCGAGTCCCTTCCAACAACAGTGATGGGTGTGAAAAGGGAGAGGACACAAAGATGTGCTCATTCTTCATGCAAGATGAGCTGGAAGGGAGACTATGGCTTGACTTGCAAAATAGAGCTTCTGGCACAGAGAAGTAGTGCATGGGTGTTGAGGCTGTGGACCTGAGAAAGTAAGCTGTCAAATTATATTTAGCGAATACATGCTGCAGAAAAGTGCAGAGAGGGAAGGAGGGGAGCTAATGTGTAGCTGGGCCCCATGGGTAGTGAGCACACAGAGCAGGGAATGAGGCTGTTTAGAGAGGATGAATTGCCTTGCTGTTCCTGATTCAAATAAATCTCTGTTTGGGGCCAGAGATCTGCACAGACTTGTATGATTACTCTGAACAGCAGAGCTCAGCTTTATATATCCGTCAGTAATGGCTCAACCACAGACTCCATTAGGTGAAGGGTGACCACCCTGTGGCCTTCCAGCCATTCACCTCCGGCTCCGTGCTAGGGATGTCTCCTGCAGCAATGCCATTCCCTAGCTGGGGAAGCAGTAGTCTGATAGAGGCTCTTGAAACCAGTCACAAGCTGCTGTACACCCCCGTTGCACACCCAGCTCAGCCCCAACCCGCTAGAAGATTGTTAGCTAAGGTTGGCATCTGCAAAATGGATTACCCTGCCCCATTTGAATTCAGGGGTGTGAACACCTCACTCCATTGTGTTCACTGGAAAACCCAGTCCTAAAGGGACAAAGATGGGAAAAAAAGAATCCTTATACTTGTATGAGACAGATCAAACCTTGTGTGCTGACACATGACAGTCAGTCATTTGGGTTCTGTCTTATATTCCAGAGGTTGTAACTTTTCAGTTTGTAGCAGGATGGGTACAGTTTAGGCTCTAACTCTTTCCTGCTAAAAGCTCGCGTATATGATTCAGTCTTTGCCTTTGAAATAAATGAGTCCTTTAAGCTTCCTCTCAGAGGAGACAGTGTGGGGAGGCCTGGCTGCCTTCTGCACATAAATATTCTGTCAAACCAGATTCAGGCTGAGGTGGGTGAAGCTGCTGCGACTCATGGGGAGCCATCAGTCTCCATCTCCTGTTAGGCAGTACTGCATCATTGAGATTTGTGCTGTTACCATACTGTCAAAAATAGCTGTGGGTGAGAAAAAGGGCTGAACCACTCCTGTGTGTTGGCCAAGCTGGAGGACAGGGCAGTTAGGAGAAGGAGATGCAGACAGGATAGTGAACAGAAGCTGTGCAAAGATGAGCTGCCTTTGCAGCCTTGTAAAAGGGGATTACTTGACCAGATGCGTGATGGAAGGAGGAAAGATGACTTCACAGATGTGATTTATTATCCCTCCCATGCAAGGGAGTTATGCTAATTCCAGTAATGACACAGATTTGTTTGGTTGCTCCTAAAAATATGCAAGGCCATAAGAAACTTTTTAAAGTGGTTTATGTGGTAAAAGCATGATTACAAACAGGACAGGATTAAAAAAACTCCAGCGGGCAAGTTCCTGGAGTTTTGCAAGTACCTAAAAATCTGAACTTTGATTATGTCAGGAAGAAACAAAGACACAGAGAATGGTTCTAACTGTTGCAGCTGTAGAGCAAACTTGAAAATGTGAAGAAAACATATGCAGGCCAGTAACATCTGCTCCAGTCTGTAGCGAGCCAGAATCAATAGTTGAGAGAGGAATTTCTTATGTGCTGTACTGGAGCATTAGCTCCACTATCTATCCTTTAGAGTCTTTCTCCTCAGCAGCAGTATCAGACCTTACCTGGGAGATGCCACAAGGGTCAGGACAGGGTGGGAAGGGACTGGCAGTTGGTCTAGGTTGGCATCTTTGAGAAGGAATACTGGCAGGAAAGAAAAACAAATTAGAGTGGGTTTTTTCCCCCCCCTCCCCCTGGGTGCTTTATCGTTTGAACCCTTGGAGGGAAACTGATGAGCCGCTATGCTTTGTGCTGGCTTCTCTTTGAGACCATTTGTTGCCTGTTTTCTTTTAAAGTCTGAAATGTTAGAAAGAGATCATTATTTTTCCTATTTAGCTTGACCTCTTCCTCCCTTGGAGACTTTTCCCCCTTGTACTGGCTATGTCCTTCTCACACAGTGCTGTGTTGAAATAAAGTTCAAGAGCAAACCTGAATTTCTAGAAAAAAAAAAGCTTGATACTTGGAATGAGACACATCCTAGAAGAGACAGTCTGAATCTCTGCAACATGGCCTGTCCCTCTCTGGAGGTGCTGTCAGGTATCAGATGTCAATCATGCACTGCCTCCCTCTGAGGTGGTTCTGAAATAACAATGTTAGGGCAAACACTTCCATGGGATGTAAACTACCCCACGGGTCACTTCTCCTACCCTTTGTACAGCAAGCTTTACCCAGCTGCAGTTTCTCATAAACAGAGAGGTTATCTGTGGTTACAATCTTGATTGCCCAGCAAATTGCTGAATGCCCGAGGAAGCAGGAGGAGAATGTGCAGCTGCAGGGTGTGTGGGTTTTTAATTGTGGTTTACAGTGAGGAGGGGAGGTGGAGAGTTTAAGAGCCATCGGTATCCTGACACCATTTGTTGCAGCATTGGAGGTGTATGAGCTGCATTCTGTGCTGGGAGGCCACCCCTGGCATTCTGGAATAGCCGTGGGAGTTAAATAAACTGTTGTTTGCTTCAGGTGCTTTGGATTATGAGACTGGTGAAGACCTGCCAGAGGCAGATTTGGACACTATGTGAAGCCAGCAGGATGGCAGGACCGTGTCTTTGTTGAGGGAATGAAGGTACATACTATCTTTCTCAGTCACCTAATTTTCCCTTCCTCCCCCGTCCTTCCATTAAATGTTACCTGCTGGCTAAAGGGCACGGGCCTATTATATGGTCAGTGCACATGACCGTAAGTTTGGTGTCAGAGTTCTTTGTCCTTTATCCAGCTGCAAATCTGCTCAGCTCCATGTGATGCCGCAAGCACAGGGATTTTCGGCTTTTGTTTCTACCGTTTACAAAATGTGAAAAAAAAAAAAAAAAGGGGGGGGGGGGGGGGGGGGGAAATGCTCAAAAATGGGAACCTCATAAAACCAGAAGAGAGTTATACACAAGTGAACTGAAAACCTGCAGCAGGATCTGTCAGAGATCAGACCTGGTCATCTGTCTAAACAGGATGTTAACTAACATAGCCTAATGTGGTGATTGTGCTGTTTAGTTTTCCATTTAGCAAAGAAAATGGAAGAGGCTTATTCCTGTGATTTCTTACTGTGGTGCCAAAAATAGATGGCCTTTGAGCTACCCCAGTATTACTTTTCTCTAATTAAGAATTGGTAATTCATACTGTGGTATGGGGGACATGCACACAAAGTGTCCAGCTGCAAGATTGCACATGACCAAACCGTTGGCTTGTCTGTGCAACTTTTTGTGAACAGGGGACTCCCGTGGGTGATTGGTAGGAGTAAAAACCTAACACATGCGAGAGAACTTGGAATATCTGTTTCCTTGTGCTTTTGGATTGTGACATCCAGTTTGGAGTCTTCAGCTAGATGCTTGCCCTTCTGTATTCTGGTGACTGAACAGCACATTTAGGTGGAAAATACGTTTGCTTCCCAGTCTTGAAGATACTGGTCTAAGCGAAAATCTTGCACAAAAGGATTAAAAAGAAGTTGGAAAAGTTAAAGTGTGTAATACTGTATTTAGGGCTGAGGGAGTATAAAAACTTAAAATTAGTTTATCACATCACTTGACAGATGGGAAGTCACTTATGTAAATTTAGGGAAGTGGTAGTTGGATTCAGTTGGTCTAATTTAAACACTATTTCTAATTATTTTTGGTATGTGTACAGAGGATTATAGGACAGCCATTATTCCAACAGGAGGGCTCTTCATATTTAAATTTAAATCCACAAAAGAGTACCCTATTAAAATGTAAACATGCTGTGATAACAAGCACCTAATTACAAAGACAGGTTAGTCCAGCTGTGCTGGTGAACAGCTATGCGTATGAATTTCAGATAATGCTTTTTCTTACACCCTAAAAACCATCAGCAGGGCAACAGAGAGGTCAAGAGGTGCCTGACCCACAGGTGGGAGCTCCCTGTAAGAAGGTTTGCTGATGCTAAGTGCAGATCTGGGAGCAGACAGGCCTTT